AATTTTTCTATTTTAAGTTTTCCAATAAAAGATAAAACAAAAAAATTTGGTTTAATAAATCGAATTATAGTTTATGTTTAAAATAAGGCTTAAAAACGTTAAAGTAAAAAAATTGCTGGTTTTTATTAGCATTTTTATACTGTTTGAAAAAAAAAACTAATAAAAAAGAATTAACTAATAATATATTAATTAATAATTATATATTAATTCTTTTTTATTAGTTTTTTTTTTCAAACAGTATAAAAATGCAAATAAAAGTCAGTAATTTTTTTGCTATAACGTTTTTAAGCATTATTTTAAACATGAAGTTTTGATAAACAAAGATAAAAACCAACTTTTCAACTTTTCGCTTTAACGACCTTGTAAGAATTTTCCACGCAGAGATTTAATGTAATTTAAATTCAAAAATGTTTTACGTTGAAAAAAAATCTCTGCGCGAAAGAGCAAATTATCTATTCAGAATAAAAAATTTTGTGTGACGTTCTTTATGATAAAAACATTACTTTGAAGAATTGCTAAAAAAAACGCTAAGCTAGAAAAAAGTAATCAATCAATCAAAAAAAAAACGAGTCGCGAAAAGATTTTTTTTAAGAAAAAACTAATCACAAAAGTGTGTGTAGCAATCGCGATCGCAATACGCTTAATACGAGCCCTGTAAGACTTTTTTATAAGTTCTAAACTATTTAAAACTATTACTTAATAACTTTTTTTTAACGACGTCTTTCAACCAAATGCTATTATACTGTTTTTGCAAAACTAATTTAAAAAACTTGATTAAAACTTAACTATTTAATCACGACTTTTTTTTACTTGAAAATCGAAGTAGATATTCTAAAGTTGTTGTGACGTACTAACGTGATTTTTAACGACTAACAATCGAGTTTCAATAGTGAAAAAATAAAATCAAAATGGAGTTGTTTTTTAGTGATTTCGGCAATTGCTTTTTGTTAGCATGCATTTATTATTACAATTTAGGGAAAAAGAAAAAAAACTTACATATTTTTTTTTTATGCTCTTTCATATGAGATCATATGTTAGGAGCATTTAGGGATCCCTTTAAGAGTGCTATTTTTGGATTCCTCAAGTTAAAATCTATTAAAGTACCAAGTTTTAGGAAATTTCCCCAAGCCATTATGAAGATACTGTATGTCAAAGTTGCTTTGTAGTCGCTTCAGAAAATCACTAAAATGCTGAGTCAGCATTATTTCAACTGACAATATCTATGGAACCCATTGGTATTTTTAACTAAAATTTTTGCAGTTATTATTTTTTTAATATGGACTACAAGTGGTGTAAAAATAAACAAATTCTGAGACGTAAGGATGTCATGGTTTGGATGATTTCATATATTTTTACCCTTTAGGCACATTTTATCAAACTCGTCATTACTAGGCATATCAAAATCAATTGGCAAAAGAAAACTCATAAAACTAAATAAATCACTTCTTATTTTAAAGACTGTCATTAAAATGGAAATGACATTGTTACTGATCTTATCTGTCCTAATTAATCGCTTAACAAAAGGAAAGTTACACCTATCTTACCAACCATTTTCCATCCAATATGTTGTTTTAGAATTTCCCTCTCAGTTGAATACATAGTTATCAAAATAATATTGACTTATTAATCAATATAATAAAAACAAATAAAATAATATTAATTAACAAATATATGCACTAGATAAAAGTGGATTTAACAACTTTTAGTTAATTAGTTTGATAATCCAAAGAGAAAAATTACGCATAAGTTTGTTTACTTTATACTTCAAAAATTGACTCGCCGAAACAGTTGTTTGGAGAATATTCATTAATAAATAGTTTGGGACGTAACGCATAAAGGTTACGTCATCGCAAAAAAAACGTCAACACAAATGTACGCCTAAAACTAACAAGATTAGTTGTAAAACATGACATTTTTGAAAACATATTTCATAACATAGTTGAAGGCATGTAAAATAATTTTTTTATTTTAATTTGCATAAAAGGTTGAAATTTCATTAACTTACGTCATCCATCAAAAAGTTACGTTTTGCATTTAAAAATGATTAATTAAAAAATATAAATGCTTTTAAAACAGTCTTTTTGTAAAAATATCTCTAGGATGACGCAGGAATCTGATAGAATGGACATTTAGGGTTAAGTGTTCCAAGTTTTAACTATCAAGCATTGAGCTATGTTATGAAATCTTAGTTGGCCCAACTCATGTTTTCTGGAAATTATGTGAAAATTAGAAAAGTGGTTCTAAATTATTAAAAATATTTTTGCAATATTTATTTTTATACCAATTAATGTAAATATTTATTTAACAAGGAAAGATAGATCTTTTATATTTTTTTAATTGCAAGATGAAAGCATTTATATAAAAAAGTTACTGTTAATTTAAAGTTTGTGAATTTTTATACTTTTTATGCGGAAATACCTTTTTTTTTTGATAAACTCATGATGTCACGCTCGTTTTTATATTGAGTGAAACAGCCGTGTTGTATATATATATATATATATATATATATATATATATATATATATATATATATATATATATATACATACATACATACATACAGTGAAGAACCCAGAGTTTATTTGGGGATGCCGTTTTTTTTTTCAGCAATATTGAGGGGGGGGGGGATTATGTTTTTGATTTCCCCCTCCCCACATTCTCCTCTAGTTAAACGGGTGCCACAACAATATTTTTAATCATCGTTTTCTTAATAATCATTTATGTTTAACTTGTTCAATTTTATCCTATAATAAGGTGTTGATTTAAAGGCATTTTTTGAATACATGAATTTACTGGTGGACGAAGTTACTTTAGCTAAAAGAAAACTATTTTACTTAAGATTTTAACAAACGCTTTTGTTGCATATACCACGCTATCAGTAAATAATTATTGAAAATTGTTTAAAGTATTTTAAACAGTTATTAACTATATTTTAGTAAATTAAATTTAAAATAATAATTTAAAATATTTTAAACAAATTTTAATCAATATTTACATTACATAATATATTTACATATATTATATCATGTAATATTTGTAAAATCAACAAAATAGTTTATGTCTTGCATTTGAATTAAAAACATAAGCATTTAATAAACAAATTCGATAAGCATTTAGTAAATGTATTTAATAAACTATTCAAATAAAAACATAAGCATTTAATAAACTTAGTTTCTATTATTTTAAATTTAAAATTTTGATTTAGATATTAGTAAATCTGTTTATTTAACTTTTACCAAAGGTTATAATTTTTTAAGTGATTTTAAGTCGCCTTATAAATTAAATATAATTAAAGAGATAATTACAGTAAACATTATTTTAAAAATATTCTATTACTTTGATTAAAAACCATATAAAATATTTTCAGAAAGATATATTAAAAAATATATATTTTTTTATTTATAAAGAATAATTTAAAAAATCACATTTGAATAAATAAATTACATTTACTTTTTTTATTATTATTTTAAAATGAGTATTGAAAGGAAAAAAAAAACTGTCTGAAAAAGTTTATACTTCCTTTTTTTCCTTTTTTCTCATGTAAACTAAAATAGCAAGCTAAAGATCAATAGTTCATTCATTTGAAAATTAAACTTGCGCGATAGTTTCAAAAGTTTGCGCGATAGTTACAAGTTATTTTTTACTTTTGTTCATTTATTATCAAACGCAGTTTACTCTTACTTGCCAAAAACAAAAACTAACCTTACGCTAAATGGATATTTAAAAACGTTTTAACTTTCAAAAAAGCAAATCTTTTATACATTCCATTGTTATAAAATTTTGTAACGTGGTTTCAAAATTTAGTTTCGTAACGACTTTCATTTTTTAAAAAGTTATGTCCCGTTATTAACCGAAGGCAAATTACGTCACGTAGTTATGTAAAAAAACAATTTCTTTTTAATTCTTTTTATTTTCCTGAAAAATAAACGAGGTAACTAAACTGAGAATTATTTATATACTACTGCATTTAAAACTAGTTTTTTTTTCTTTTTTTCATAAAAAATCAAAATTAAAAATAAAAATAGCTTTTGGGCGCCCATACCAGTAAAACAGTACTAAAACACATCTAGGTTCTTCACTGATATATATATATATATATATATATATATATATATATATATATATATATATATATATATATATATATATATATATATATATTACTCCGTCATTAAACAGAGCAATCGTTATGTTCATTATATCTAGTAACTCGTATTAACATTGGAAATTGGGCAATATAATAGAAACAACTTTATACATGCATCAAATGCGGTAAATACATTTATTAAAGAAACTATGTTGTTCTTTTATTTAACTTACTCCATCATTAACAAAATTTATAAATTAAATAATATTTTTTACAAATAAGTAACAATCTATTTTCTTATTTTCCTATTGTATAGGTATTGATAAAAAATGACAAATAAAGCAAAAACTTTTTTAAAAGCGAAACGACGTAAAAAAAAATAAACTAAATAAACAAATAAACGTAAGAAAAAAAATTAAATAAATTTCTTATAGTTCTAGCGTACATAGCAAGTTAGTTTCCTTATTATATGGGCTGATAAAAATTGTGATTAAATTGCATATCAAAACTTTCAATTGTAGTTCAATTGTTATAAAAGATAATCTTTTTTTCAACAACGACTCTAAAAAAAAAAAAGAATACAAAAGTTGTATGAAAATTTTTTTTAATAAATTTTCTAGTTTATTTGATTAAACTTAATATTTTGTTACAATTTTGTTTCCTTATTAAAAAACTTTTTTTTAAGAATACTTTTTGCCGCAAATTATTGAAACGCTTTACAAGTTAAAAGATACGAACTGCCATGGTCAGTGTGTCTTAAAAAATTACTTAAAGCGTGGACATGCAAGGCGTGCGACCACACACCTTTCCCGAGAAGGCTTGAATAATGTATTGTTATCTTTTGTTTGAGTGTTAAAATTTTCATATAAAAGATAAACTGCATGTGTTATAATTTAACTATGAAATTTTTTAGGGGAGTTTCTTGCTAAAACTACACAAGGTACAAAAAATGATATTGAACTAGCAGTTGAAGCTGCACGTAATGCTTATGATTCTTGGTCAACTCTTCCTAGTCATACCAGAGCTTTGCATATTTATAGTATAGCCCGTCATGTTCAAAAACATATGAGATTAATCTCTGTAATTGAAAGCTTGGATAATGGAAAACCTATTAGGGAGACACGAGATTATGACACTCAAGTTGTTGCTAGACATTTATACCACCATGTTGGGTGGGCTGAACTAATGGATACAGAAATGAAAGGTATGAATAAGATATGCTTTTTTAATTAAATAATATTCAAATACTTTTTGATTTTTATCAACACAACCTATTAACTGTTTAAAGTTATTACCTTTAGACTGGGCGCCAGTTGGCATAGTAGCTGGTATTGTTGCTTGGAATTTTCCATTAATGTTACTCATATGGAAGTTATGTCCTGCATTAGCTATGGGAAATACTGTTATCTTAAAGCCAGCATCTTATACAAGATTAAGTGCTTTGCTTTTTGCTGACATTTGCGCTGAAGCTGGTTTACCACCAGGTGTTTTGAATGTTGTTACTGGAGATGGAAAATTTGGAAGTTTGCTTGCAGTACATCCTCAAGTGGATAAAATTGGGTTTACTGGCTCAACAGAGGTTAATAGTTTTAATTCTTTTCATTTTATATTAGAATTTATGATACTCAAGCAATACTGCAGTTGTATGTTTTGTTGTTTAGAAGCTCAAAGCTTGGAAATGCTGCATACACTTATTTTTTTGTTATTATTTTTACATTCACAAAGTTCTTTAGCAGTAAATAATGAGACATAGCAATGTTCAGCTGTAGCAGCCCAATACTTTTCATTAATTTAAACCAATGTATTCTTATTTTTCACAAGCCATTTGTTAAGGTTTGCTTTGAATTTGTTCAAATTCTCATACTTTACAAAGACATCAGGAAGTTTATTCCAAAGTTGACACGCTCTGTTCGAGAAGAAATGAGTTCTTGAATTAACAGATGCATGAAAGTCATTTATTTCACGAGGGGTGAAATATTGCATCTGGATTCTGTGATTGTGACCTTTAGTTGTAACACTCGGGCCAACTAATTTAATACTTGAATTAAGGACTGGTTTCAAAAAAAGGTTAACAGACTCTAAATTGTTTAATATCTTATATAACTGAATAAAGTCTCCCCGTTTTCTTCTAAGATTTAAAGTCATTAGACCCATTTTAACTAGTCGTTCTTTATAACTAAGTATCCTATTTGAATATGGTATTTTGGTGGTTCTATGTTGAACTCTTTGGAGCATAGAAATTTCTGCTAGATTTGGTGGATTCCATGCTGGAGCCGCAAATTCAAGATGAGATCGCACATAGGTCATGTACAGAATTTTCCAAATTCTAGAATCTCTACTTTTGAAAGTGTTTTTTAATAACCCCAGTAGTTTTAAAGCTTTGTTCACACACACTTGTGTTTGATGTTTCCACTTCATATCCGATTGTACAAAAAAACCCCAGATATCTCTCTAAAATGTGTATGTTTTAACAATTTCAGGTTGAACATTTTAATTACCAAATCTCATCGCTTTGCATTTTTTGGTGTTAAGTTCCATTTGCCAATCGTTGCACCATTTTACTATGTTATGGAGATCAGTTTGAATTTGGGCCTCCTTATCTAAGGAATCTTCAATAGCTAATATTTTGGTATCCTCAGCATACATTTTAAATATTTTTAACACAACCTCTGGTAAATCATTTATGTAGAGCAGAAAAAAAATGGGACCCAAAACCGAACCCTGAGGAATGTTACTGGTAACAGATACCCATTCTGAAACTGAATTACTCTTGTTTCCTATTTTTAAGGAAGCTTTCAATTCAGTTATATATTTTACCAGTTATACCATATAAATCAATAATCTTTTGTGTTCTACTTTATCAAAAGCTATTGCAAAGTCAAGATATACAATGCATAAAGGTTTACCCTTTGGTATCTCATATATAATGGTATCAAGAGTCTCAATGAGATTTGTTGTGCAGGATTTGTTAGGGTCAAAACCAGTTTGCTCATCAGAAATAAGACCATTTGAAACTAAATGCTCAAAAATTGTCCCACGAATAAGTTTTTCAAACATTTTGCAAATTACTGATATTAACGATAGTGGTCTATATTTTCCTGAATCAAGTTTTGATTGACCTTTATAAATTGGTGATATATTTGCAACAGACCAATGGTATGGTACACATCCAGTTTCAAAACTCAATTTGAAAAGATAAACTATTGTATCAACAAAACCTTCTGCAGCATGTTTCAAAACATATGGACTAATTTCATCAAAGCCCATAGCTTTTGACTGATCTAAGCCTTCTAACATTTTCATTTTTGTTACGCCAGTGATCATATCAGGAAATATACTTAAGTTGATTTGTTTTTCACATCTTTTTAAGAATTCGGGCATTGCTTCATCATTATTATTAATAAAGACTGATTTAAACTGCTTGTTTAATATGTCTTCAACTTCTGAAATTTCAGTTGTTATTTGATCGTTCTTATTCTTGATTGCTCTAATTAGGGGTTTTTTACTTTGTTTTCTATTTACATATGAGAATAAAAGTTTTGGTGCAAGCTTTGCTCTCTTTACCAAATCCATTTCATACCCTTGAGTTGATCTTTTGATCTGTTTTTTAACATAAGTACATATTTTGTTGAATGCTTTTCGAGCTTCTTGATTTCGCTGATAGGAATTAGAATAAAATAGTGAATGTTTGAGCTTAACTAACTTTTTTGTTTCTGCATTTAACCACGGTTGACTGTTCTTTATTTTAATGTTCGAAACAGGTATAAACAACCGACAAGATTCATTATAAGTTTGTAAAAATAATTCATAGCATTCACACACAGATTTACCATGAAACAATTTATCCCAGTTGATTTGTTTTAAATACTTAATCATTTGCGTAAATTTACCTTTTTTATAGTAAAACTTATCTCTTTTAAATATTATATTTTCACTAAAATTAATAAAATATTACCAAGTGATGGAGTAATGGCATCTTCCCGTTTCATAATGACCTAATTGTGGACCACATTGGAGAAAATCAATGCAATTTGGATTGCAAACAAAAACCAGGTCAAGAGTGTTAACTGCTACGGTAGAAATGCTTTGTTTGAACGTTGGAAAGTCTACTATTTCGGATAAAGAACAGTCATTTAAAACTTTAATGAATTCATGCTCAGATGAGTTTTTATTTAAGGAATATTAAATTTGCTTATGGAATATTAAAAATACAACTTTTTTAGTTATCTCTAAAGCAGGACAAAAATAAAAGAAACTATTTAAAAAAATTTTTGCTCCTATTTCTTACAAAATGCATCAACCATTGCTTTTTGTAATTTTTAAAATTTCAGACTTGGATTACAAGTCTCAATCATTTTTTTGTATGTTCTAATTTAGGTTTAATCACTAACAAGGCAAAACTGAAATTTAATGAAAGACTTTAACTTAATAAGAACTTTTTTTTTAGGTATTCAAAGGTCAACAGACAGTGCCGTGCTTTGAAGGGCCTTTCAGAAGAAAAAAAATTATTTAGCTATATTCTTAAAATTATCAACAAATAATTTTTTATTCCCTTTATTTATGCTTTAACAAATTAAATTCTTTAATTATCTGATTTCAAGTGCTGATTTTTGAGCGCTAGTATATTAATATTTTGCATAATAAAATGCAAACATCTGACAGCTCAAAAATAATTGCAAAAATGTTTACCATTATGTCACAAAAAATCGGTTTTAAGATTGTAATAAATTAAAGGAGCTGTGTCAAGGCTTAAATTAGTTGATTGCAATGGTCAGATAGGAAATTGCTATCCTGAAATTATATAATTAAAAGAAATCACAAAAAAAACAACATATTGTTTGTAAAATTAAGTAGTTTTTTTCAATTAATCACTAAAACTGTTTTTTTAATTTATTTAACTATTTTGTTTTTAATTTAAATATTACTTGTTTTGCAAAACTCTTGCTATGTAACCAATGAATTGAAATGACTTAATTGAAATCTCAGGTTTCTTATCTGACCTTTTATGTGGTCAAAGTATATTTTCAAAATGATTTATTATTAATTATTTAAAAAAAAAGAAGGTATTTGAATAGATATAGTTCCCCAATAGAAGTTGCTGTTAGACTAATAAAAGGTTTTGTTTTTTTAATAAAAATTTATGTGAAGAATTGTTCAAAAAAGTGATTTCAAAGCATGAAAATTATTTTAAACGAGACACATTGTGTCTCATTTAAAATAATTTTCCTCCTAGATTGTTAAATTTAAAATAATTTAACAATCTAGGAGGAAAATACAATTTTTATCGCGGAAAATAAATTACCCATGTTGTCAGTATTACTTGTAATGATATATTCTTGAAAATATGACAGTTTTAGATATTTTTGTTCAAAGTGATGTTTAATTATGAGTTTATGCATTCTAGAATAATTTAAGAGCGTTTTATTAACTCCAAGCGATTTTCTCTTATATCAGCTGACTTCTCAGCATTCCTGAAAAACTTATGAGCAGAGTTCACCAGTTTGCTGTTTGGATACATCAGTTAAAAGACCGAATTCACCTCTGAAGTTATCCTAGATTTCTTTTCTTTTTCTTTTGATCTTTTCTTTAATTTCATTCCCTCTTGCTTGCCATGTTTTATTTTATAAGTGGTATGAAATGTCAAGAAAACATTAAAGATTTTTTATTTATGCATGATAAGGTAATAATCTAAAGTAATTTTATTCTTTGATAATGTATTTATATTATTCATTTCAGCTAGTTTTGCTTTCGCGTATTATATAATAGCAGCATTGTGTGGAAGAACATGATGATAGTGCTTTGTAAGCTTTCCTGTCTACAATTCAAATGGTCATAGTTGGTACTATTTGTATGTTTAGATCACCTGAAGATACTTAGGTGGGAGCATTTCAAATAGTTGTCTAAAATCATTGACTTCTTTGGGTATTAAGTCTGTAGATTCTTAAATAAATTTAGTAAATTCAAAGTTTTTACTTATCCAAATAGTGTAGGTTCATGAAGCTAATGTCTTCCTGTTTCGTCTGTTTTTTCTCAAATGTTTGATAAAAGCTTGTAATTTAAATTTTTAAACATTTTATAGCAGTGTCATACATTTCAGCATCTTTTATTTCTCCAATAGCGTAACTTATTGTTAAACCAAACTTAAAAGTTTTGGAGAGTCTGCTATTAAAATGTAAAACAAAAATGAATTTTAGGATAAGTTTGAAAAAAAAAATTTTCCTTCTGATTTATGATTCATGCTTTTAAAAGTTTTTCATAAATGCAAATAGCATTATATTCTCTAGTATAAACTTTCTTGTTTTATTTAAAATAGTATTGCGCAGAACAAAAGTTAAACAGTTTAAGAAATTCTAGTTTTACAAGTTCAGGCAAATTTTTTTTTCAAAAAAAAACATATATTATGTCAATAAAGTATTTATAATTTTATAATTTTTGGATTGTTCTGTTACTTAACAATATAAAAAATTTTTTTTCAAAACAAAATATTGTTTTAGTAGTTCATCGTTGCGCAATAAAAATTATCCATTGATTTTTCTATATACTTAAAAGTTTAATTTTTAATTTTTCTTAATTTTAATTTTTATTTAAATTCGTTTAAATTCATTAATTTTTCTTCATTTTCCTTAACATTCCACCCCTTGTTTTGATTTGTATCATTATTACATTTTTAAGCAATAATGTCAATGCTGATAAAAACCAGGTCTATTCACAACTACCGCTAATTATCGCTATATTATAAGTATTGATAATTAGTTTCTATTTTTTTTTAATTTTTACTTATTAAGTTCTGTATTTTAGTTAAAAATCATTTTTTTTCAGTTCTTAAACTTTTTAAACTCTAGGTGGGTAAAATATTGCGAAGAATAACAGCTGGTACTGGTAAAAAAATTTCATTGGAGCTTGGTGGAAAGTCACCAGTTGTTGTATTTGATTCTGCTGATCTTGATTCAGCTGTTGAAGGAATTGTTATGGCAATCTGGTTTAATCAAGGGCAGGTATACAAGACAAACGTATGTATATACATATAAAATGCTTATTTATATGTATGTATATATATATATATATATATATATATATATATATATATATATATATATATATATATATATATATATATATATATATATATATATATATATATATATATATATATATATATATATATATATATATATATATATACATACATACATACTCACACACACTTTACTCAATTTATAGCTAAGGATTCAATTTCCTAATATCATTTTTAGACTCCTAATGTAAAAGTGTATGCTTTAATTTTTCAAAAAAGAAGTATATATATATATATATATATATATATATATATATATATATATATATATATATATATATATATATATATATATATATATATGCCATAGTACTACATATATAGGCCATAGTACCACTTAAATTTTTCAATAAATAAATTTTACTAATGACTGCATAAAATATTGTTCCATTTACTACAAAAATCATTTTTTGTTATGAAAGTGTTTATGTAGCTCATCTCTAAGTTCTGCCGAATTTCATTTTTAGTTTGAGTTAATTGAATAAAATAAAAACAAAAAATCTCTTCCATTTTTTAACCTGTTCGGTGTGACACTTACTAATAATTGCATATTTCTATTGTTCTTCATGTAAACAAACAAACGTGTGACATACATCTCTCAATACGCGCTTTTTTTATAATTTATGTTTTTTATAAATACCACCAGCTTATATTTTAAAAACTATTTTACAACAAAAAATCCACTTAAAAGATAATATTAAGATAATAATAAGAATAATGCATATGAAACTTTACCATACATAAAGAATTTTGTTTTGCAATGACTTCCCAATGCAGTGTATTTTTTCAAAAATTATTGTTTAAAATGCTGAATAAGACTAAATATTATTATGCTTATTTTTTAACAAAATTTACTCTCATCTATCTAATTGTAGGGAAGGGTTGAATAGCTAAGAGAGTAGATTCAACGATAAAAAATTGTTGATTGGGTTGTTGTAGTTATAGGGATAGGTTAAGATACGTACGAGTTAGAGCAGATTGGGGGAAATGGTCATTAGATTGGGGTTTGACTATTACTGTATTATATTTTACTGTATTATATTTTTTTAAATTGTTTTTCTATCAAATAATAGCCTAACTAAATACTTAAAACCAGTACTCCAAGAGTAAGAGTGACCTTTTAAAGTATAAAATATACGGGTGACCTTTTAAAGTATAAAACGAGATAGGTGACCTTTTAAAGTATAAAATATATAGAATTGATAAGATAGTGTTTTGAAAATACTGAAAACCATCCTGTTACGTTTTTAAAAAAGGTAAAACACACAAAGTTTTTATAGATTAAATTACCTAATAATGTAATTAAAAACTTATTCCTTATATCCTATATTTATTATTTATTATGTTAGTATTTATTCATATATTTGTTATTTATTATGTTTATATTTATTCCTATATTTATATTCCTTATATTTATATATATATTCTTTATATTTGTATATATTCCTTATATTTATTCCTTTATTATGTTCCAATTATTTTATTTTAACATATGTTTTAAAAATCAACCCGTTTTACATTCTAACACTTTTATATAAATTTTTGATAAATTTGTCTTCCAAAGAGGTCAATGAGACTACTTTTTTCTTTTTACTTTGACTGTGATTATAACCCTCTCTCATGGTTTCTTGCAGTTTTTATTAGTCATATACATTATTAATATAAATTCAATTAAAACTATTTTAACAATATAATATCAGTGCAAAGTATGGATGAATAAAAAAAACAATTTATAAAAAAGAAATTTACTTGTTCTTATTTGGATAATATTATTCATATTCATTTTCAAAATAAAAAACCAGACTGATTAAGAATAAGACTTTGTCTAGTTTGAAACTCTCAAAACAAAAAATATTATGTTAAAACTAGACTGATTAAGAATAAGACATAGTTTGCAACTCTCAAAAGTTGAAACTAGTTGATAGATGGGCAGGATAGATAATTTGTAAAAGTTTATTTTCACTTGAGATTCTGAGATTCAAAATCTATTAGCGGTTGCTAATCATGCAGCCATCATAATTTTTAATTATTCTTTAAGTCATTTTGAAAAACTTTATTTTAAAAACAGACAACAACTGATGTAATTATGCATTTTACAATTATTAAAATCAAATTGCTTTACAAGGGACACTTCTCTTATGCAATTTGCATTAGGTGATAATATTTAAAAAAATAATAAAAAATAAAAGGAATGCAAATGAAAATTGCATTTACTTTAAAAAAGAACAATATAAAGAAGCCCACATATGAGAGTTAAAAGATGCTGCATCAATTTTCATACTGGCAGTGATGTGTTTTTATAAGACATAAGACAACGGAAAATATTTTAAAATTTATTTGTAGGAATGGAACAAAAAATGTAAATTATTTAAAATGAGGCTTTTTTCAAAGCTTCAAGGTAGCTATTAATACATAAAAATTAGTTATGAAGATAGTTCAAAATATATACACAAAAATGAACATATAGGACAAATTCAAAAAAAAAAATTTATCTTCAGGGCGAGGCTACGCAAAACAAAGTGGTCTAAAATCCCATAACAATTATTTGTTATTTATTGGGATTTTAGACCAATACAAATAATTTATATCGTTATTGGGATTTTAACACAAAACAAATAATTTATAACTTTCTTTTATTAGTAACAAATTAGTTAAGACAGTTGTTTTACAGAAAATATTGTTCATACCAAATATTTACTATTGATATAAAAATCCTAATCATTTTTTACTTTCTTACAAAATGCTATGATTTTTTTGAGGCAATACTTAAGTATAAAAACACAAATCTTTATATAAAATTCTGTAGTATTCAGAATTATCCTAATAGGCTTTTTTTAAAAAATACTTTTATTATGTTAAGGAACAGCATTTCTTGCAGCCAGGTGTAATTTTCTAATTTTTATTAAATTTGGCCAACCAATAATTTACATTATTATTTTAAGAAATTGTTTTTACTTAACATGATACTTAAAAAAGTAAAAGTAAAAACGCAAACATTATTTCAACCACTTTAAACAGTTATGAAAAGCTATTACTAATACTAATATTTGTAAAAAATGTGTTTTATTGTCAGCATGAACAGAGGTTCATGCTGACAATAAAACACATTTTGTTTTTAATTTGTTATTGTAAAAAGTTATAAAACAACAATAAAACTGCGAAGTTGTTTTGTCAATATAAAAAGCATGTGTATATAAAACAATTTAGCTATGTTACTGCTACATTATTGCTACGTTGTTTTATTGCTGTTTAATACAGTTTATAACATTATTAACATAAAATGCGTTTATAATAAAACAAAGTAGATAAATCAAATTATTTTAATTAATTAATTAAATTATTGTTATAAAACTTGAAACTTAATATTTCTGCAAAAACAAACTCTATTATCTATAGACCAAACAAGTATGATCATATGAAAAAAAAAATGGTTAAAAAATATAAGTAAACTCAAAAAAATTCTAAACTTATTTATTAAAGATACTTCTTGATCTAGCATTCAATTAAAAACTTTAAGTATAGTTAATTTTTTCATTTAAGATATTTTTAAGTCATATTTTCATTCAATTATTTTGTTGAAATTGTTCTGCAATAAAATAATAGGTGACCGGGGCCCTGGCTAAAAATGAGACTTCTTTCAAATCCGGCCCCAACAAAACTATAAGATTTACCAAGTGTTTTCTAGAGTTTTGAAAAATTGGAACCACTTATTTAGTACTTTTTAAAAATTAAATATTATTAAATTAATAAGGTTAAATGTTAGAAATACTTTAGTTAATGACATTGTTGAAGACTAACTAAAAGTCTCTAGAATCTAACATCTAATATGAGATACAAGATTTTGTAAACTGAGAATATGTTTATGTGTGTTTGGGGCCTTTGTCTTGTTGAAACATCCACTGTAGAGGCATTATTTTATTTACAAATAATGTCATTTGATTCTCCAGAAATGAATTGTAATAAAAAAAACATTTAAACTTTATTTAACATTTCACAAATTCATCGGTTTTAGTTTAACAACATTTAATATCCAACCATTTAAATACGCCCCAAGGATGTGTATAAATACTTAAACAGATTTTATATATATATATATATATATATATATATATATATATATATATATATATATATATATATATATATATATGTATATATTATTTTAGTTTTTTTTTATTGTTTTTAATGATATCAAAAAAGTGTATTTTTTAAAATTATTAAATACACATGACTTGTAATGTATATATATATATATATATATATATATATATATATATATATATATATATATATATATATATATATATATATATATATTATTTTAGTTTTTTTTTATTGTTTTTAATGATATCAAAAAAGTGTATTTTTTAAAATTATTAAATACACATGACTTGTAATGTATATATATATATATATATATATATATATATATATATATATATTATATATATATATATATATATATATATATATATATATATATATATATATATATTATTTTAGTTTTTTTTTATTGTTTTTAATGATATCAAAAAAGTGTATTTTTTAAAATTATTAAATACACATGACTTAAAAATTAAGTTTTAATTTAGGTATGCTCTGCTGGTTCAAGATTACTTGTCCAAGAGACAGTGGCAGAAGTTGTTATTAAAAAGTTGAAAGAAAGGATGAAAACACTAAGAGTGGGTCCTTCATTAGACAAATGCATTGATATGAGTGCTATTATTGATGAATCACAGCGAAAATCAATTGAACAATTTGTTGAAGAAGCAAGAAGAGATGGAGCTGAGGTAGTAGTTATTACAAATTATGTCAGGTATTCATAACAAATAACTTTGATAAATTAGTAACAATTTATAGTGATTTATAAAAAATCTAAAAAAAAATTTAAAACATTTTAAAATCTGTCTTATTTTTTTCTGTTTTTAAAGTTATAAATTTAATCTTAAAATTTGTATAAGAGTTCCTATATTTAAAGTAATCTCTCGAACTGCCAAGAAAAGTTCATATCATACATAATCCTTAAACAATATGTTTCATGTTAATTAAACTTTTAATAAATTATTTGAGATTTTTTTTTTTAATACTGGCCTGATAAATGCGCTTTTTTAGTTAATAAATGGCATCAATACAAGAAAGTTCTTTCAAATAACTGATTTTATTTATTTTAATTAACTTATTTTTGGGTTTTCCCATTTGCAATTTATTTTTATGCAGAAGAATGCCTTTATATAAAATCTTTTATAAAACCAAATAAAAATAACATGATCAATTAGTCTAACTTATATTTATTTTATTTTAAAAACAAAACTAATATTAGTGTTATAAATATAAGATATGTCAATTCTGATGTTCTGATAATAAATTCTTAAAACCAAAATACTTTTTTTTTTTTTTGTATTAAGTGAGAAGTAGTGAAAACACATTTGATTTCACCAGGGATGCGGAGTCTCAAAAAGACTCGGGCTTTATATCTCTACTTTTTCTAAGTCTGTAGTGTCCAGAAGCTCTAAACATGTTTGTTGACTTATGATCTGCTATAAGAAAAAAATTCATGAGATTTAATGACTTGAAACCTATTGTTTTTAGGCCCAGAGTCCTGGATTCCTTGCCACCATTTTACCTTAGGACTCCGGGTTCAAAAAATGATTGCTCCTCTAACCTAAAAGTCTTAATTTTTTCCTATTAATAGTCCATAAACTTATTTATATATTTAGAGCTCCTGGATACCAAAAACTAGGACGAAGTAAACTTTTTGTGACTTTCAAATCCGGAGTCTTTTTTGGCACTTAGCATCCCTGGATTTCACTGTAAATGAAAATAAAACATTTTAATGGAAATAAAACTAAGTAGAAAAGCAGTAACTTTTGTTTAGTGCACAATTTCTGATTTAATGTTGCGCATGCATGTTAATTGACATGCACATGTCTAGTGGAGGTAAACAAACCAAATCAACTCAAACCTTCATAATCACCTTCATAGTCACCTTTGTATTCACCTTCGTAATCACCTTTTTTCTCTAGCTTAATAAAACTCTCAGGGCTTCAACAGATATTTTAAAATCCTGTCAAGCCATTTGATTTAAAAAAAGCTTTATCTTTGATATTCTTTAGAAACAATATTCTAAACTATAAACTATTACTATAGTTATATCCAAGTTTTCGGAAATTATAAACGTATTTACTGATCAGGCAGTATCAGCAACACTTTAGCATATTTTCCTTTTTTATAATACAAGTTATCTGTATAAACTATAAACATTTCTTATTCTTAATAAATGTATATACTATGCTTTATTTTGATCTTTCTTAGAAAGATAAAATTCAAGTATAATATGTACACTACTTAAGTATGCAAATCTTTACCCTTAAGTATGAGAATCTTATAGTATAACTTGTTATCAGATACTTATAGTTTAGTATATCATTTCTTTATAGTAATGGATGCTTGGGAAAAAAGAATTTTCATAAATATTTAAGCTGATAAGTAACAGTGAGATTAACTAGATTATTAAGTTAACTAGATTATTAACTTACACGAATATTGGAAAAAGTAAATACTTGATAGTAAAAATTACAGTTTGTTTTATTTCTCCTTGTTCCATGAAATTTACAAGCTCCTGTCTCTGTTTTACTATATTGAGCATTTTTACGTTCATTTACTGCACTATGAGTAGAAATTTTCTATTTATTTTTTCTTTCAGTACTTCAAACAAAAATATCTAAATAAGTCTTTGTTTACCTCCGCTTATTTAGTGCTTGACATTTAACATGTGTGCGCAATGCTTTTATTGTAATCAGAGAATCGTGTATTACAATTTTTTAAATTCTGCTGCTGAACTAAAATGTTTAATGTAGTGCGAACATCTAATTGTGCAGTTGTGTAAATCGTTTATAAAACTCTGCAGTAAGTACATTTATTATTCAAACCAGATAATTTTACAATGGAAAAAACTATGCAGGTTCATGGAGTTATTATTAACTATAATAGCAAAACAACAAATGTTTTTTGTTAATGTCTTAATAAATAAATTCTTGTGGTAATTTTAATTCTCAAAACTTATTTTCTAATATTTACTTACAAAATAAACATAATTTTGAACTTGGGAATCTCTTTAAATTTTGTATTTTAGAATACAAAATTTAAAGAGATTCCCAAGATTTAAAATCTAAATTGTATTTTAGATTTTAATTTTTTATTTTAGATTTATCAATGTTGTGATATTCCGTCTCAAGGATGCTATTATCCTCCTACACTTGTTACAAATGTTTCCACGACCTCAAGGATTGTTCAAGAAGAGGTTTATTTGAAATCCTTTTTTTTTTTTAATTCTCCATGGTTGCTTCTTAATTTGTTATTTTTTCTATTAGGTGTTTGGTCCAGTCTTAACTGTGTTAACTTTCAGAACTGCCAAGGAAGCTATTGCTCTTGCAAATAACTCCATATATGGTTTAGGTGCAAGTGTTTGGTCTGAACATATAGGTTTGGCAATGGAAGTTTCAAGCTGTATCAAAGCTGGAACTGTTTGGATAAACAATCATAATGTTTTTGATGCTGCAGCTGGTTTTGGAGGTTATAAAGAAAGTGGTTTTGGTCGTGATGGGGGTAAAGAGGTAAAATATTTGTATTTGAAAATAATAGTGATGTTAATGTTAACGAATGATGAGGATGTTAATAAAAAAAGGTGTGTGATGTGATGATAAAAAAATCATTGTTGCATAATGATAAAAAATGTGTGTTGAAGGAATATACAGTTCAATACAATTTCAATATAAGTAATTTTTTTTTAATTTTTCTTCACTCTCAGTGAGTTAAATATAGAGATTGACTCTATTCAAATTGTCTTGAAGAAAAAATGGGTTTATTTACTAAAATTAAAAATGATTATAAATAGGGATTATTTATAATCCCTACTTATAATTAATTTTTGTCACAAATAATTCTTTAGTTAATAAGTTGTTAAATATCTCTTAATAAATAAGTTTTTCATTTGTTTCAATTATTAGCTCACATGAATAAATTTAATTCACAAATTAAGGATGATAATTATAACCAAAAATGTAAAAAAAATAGCCAAGCTAATAAATACATATTTTAATATAATTAATTTTTTATTTTATTTACCCTTAGAGAGTTAAATAAAGAAAACCACTCTGTTAAGGAAGCTCATTTATAAAAAATTTTTTTTCTTAAACTTTTTGGTAATAGTTGTTCTCCCAACACTATAACTTTAAACCATGAACCAAACAAGTTGCACTGGTAAACAAGTTGCATTTAATTTTTGAAAAATATTATCAAAAACCTGTGCAAAAAATCTTTTTTTGATTATTCTTTTTAATCTTGATTTTATTTAGGGACTTTATGAGTATGTGAAACTAAAATGGCAACAAAAAGTAAATGTTGATACATCTTTATTTGATGTTTCAAAGTTTGGAATTGCTTCATCTCCTGGCGTATCAAATATAAATTCAAATCCGTTATTGTCTTGTAATGACACATCTCCAAAGTATGGTTTTAGGGTCATGGCTTGTTTTTTGTTTAACTCTAAATTGTTTGTGTGTGTATTTCCTAACACCATTTCAGTTAAATTTACAGAGCCTGAGCAGTGTTTGAGTTTGTCATTTAAATGTATTTATATTTTATAACGCTTTTTTTTAAAGAATTGACCAAACATTAAAACTTTACATTGGTGGAAAACAAGTTCGCCCTGATTCAAATTACTCTCGCCCTATTTTAAATTGTTCATGTGTTATTGGACAAGTTGGTGAATCAAACTGTAAAGATGTTAGAGATGCTGTTGAAGTGGCTCATAGTGCTCAAGAAGGGTAAGCGTATTTTTTTATGTGTGCCTGTGCAAATAAAATATATATATTATTCTTATTTTGTGTGTGTGTTTATATATATATATATATATATATATATATATATATATATATATATATATATATATATATATATATATATATATATATATATATATATATATATATATATATATATATATATATATATATATATATATATATATAAATATATAGTCTTGCGTGGTAGTCAAAAAAGTTTCTTCCATAAAATATAGTTTTTAAGAGAATTCTAACAAACCAGACCAGAAAAAGTTTAAAAACTTGACAAAGTTTTTTTTAATGATAGATTGTTTGCCCAAACCAAACCCTCAGTCAATGTAGCACCCCTTCTTTTTAACAGCCCATCCTTGTAACAGAAGACTATGAGATAGTTAATGTAGCATCACTCCCTTGTAGCAGCAGGCTTTAAGATTGTTGATGTAGCAACACATGCATGCCTTAAAAATGTTTTAGAAATAAAAAAAACCAAAAACAATATTAAAAAAATTTTGTAGTCATTATTATTCCAGTTTTTTAAGAAACGTTAAAACTTTCGCATTATTTTAATTGTTTTATTTTTTTTTTTTTAATTATTTGCTGAATTGTTGAATTCGCTTAAATGTTGTTGAAAAAGATTTAGAGTATAAAATCTTGTAGACTTCAAAATATATTATTGTCATGTTGTTAAAAAACATTTACTTTTATTAATTTAAACTGTTTTATTATTTAATTACATAAAAATAAAATATATTCAAAATATTAAAAAAATGTTTTATTTTCAAAAGTTTGAATAATATATAAAAAAATATTAATTTAATAAATTTTTTTCCTTATATTATTTTACAATTTAAAATTTAATGTGATTACTGTAAATTTTTTGTTTATTATTTTTCTCTGCTAATTCTAAAAATAATTTTTTTTTTTGTATCATTGACTGTTTTAAAGTTGTAAATTTTTAGTACCATCCAGCAGCTGAATGTCCTTTTAACATTGTAATTGTCTCACAAAATATTTCATGGGAAATTGTTAGTAAGCTTCTCCTATCACCCTAGGCATGTATGAAGAAAGAAAGAAGTGGATTACAAGACAAATATTATATATATTGTAGTTGGAAAAAAAAGAGTTTTTTCTTTTCCGTGATATAAAATCTTTCATAATACATATAAAAAAACTTTTGTCATGTCTGTTATCAAAGGCACATTTAAAGTTTGCGTTCAAGACCAAAGTAATTTGTTTTAAAAACATCTTACTACTCAAAAGCCTATTAATAGGTCGTTTAATGTGGTGTTTAAAAAGCAAAGATATCTGCACTATTGATTGTTATAATAACCAATCAAAGATTTGTCTTACTAAGTTAGAGGGTGGACTAGGTGAAGGCTGATATACTGATATACTATACTTTAGGAGATCTAAAAGTGTTGAGTGACTTATAATCTACAATAAGGAAAAAAAGAGATTTTATGACTTGGAACTTATTATTTTTTAGCCCAGAGTCTTGAAGTCCTTGCCGCCATTATACATAAGGACTCTGAAATCGAAATTTAATTGTTCCTCTAACCTAAAAGTCTTGATTTTTTTCCTGAAAGTACTCCACAAGGAAGAAGTAATAATTTTGTGACTTTCAAATCTGGAGTCCTTTTTGGGACTCTGCATCCTCAATGCTATGTAATTACCCTTACAACATTAAAATAAATTGGTACAACATGCTAAAAGTTTGCACTTAAGAATTAAGAAAGCATGAAGTTAAACATTAAAAAAAATTATTGTCAAAGTGAATTTTGAAATCAGTGAGCAAGACTTTTGTTACATTATGTAGTTTTATTTTTAATTTGTTTAAATAAGTTTAATTAATTAAAAACATTTTTTTATGTTATTGAAATAGAAATGTGTTTTGTTTACTTTTTTTTTTTTTCTTTTTTTTTGAGCGAATGTATTTGTTTGTGTTTTTAGGTGGAGCAAGCGGACTGGTCACAATAAAGCTCAAATTATCTACTATATTGCAGAAAACCTGGAATTAAGGAAAGAGGAGTTTATAGATTGTTTGTGTAAATCTACATCATGCTCAAAAGATGAGGCTCAAAAAGAAGTTGATATATCCCTCCAAAGGTTATTTTTTTGGGCAGCCTATGCTGACAAATATGGTGGAAATGTTCAGGTGTGTTATTTATTGTTGTTATTATTATTATTATTATTATTATTTTTTCACTTGATTTATAAATTTCCATGAAAGTTAATTTTATCATTTTAATGAATTGAGCATGTAAATTCATATCATTATTTAGACATTACTACAAGAGTATGTTATAATTCTAAAAAATGTAATGCTTGTTTTGGTGTTTTTACAGAGAGAGGGAATATTAACTCATTGCAGATTAGTAATCTGTAATACTTATGTTAATTTTTATGTTATATAATACTTATGTTAATTTTTTTTTTAATTGCATCTAGCTATATCCCTTGCTACTTGCTATTTGATTTTTTGTGGTAGTATCAATCTACGAAATTACTATTAGGTGTACGAGGGCTAACTTTAATGATATGTTTAAATAGTTAAATTTGCTAGGATTTTTGGTTTTTATTTAATTTTATCAAGAATAAATTTATTTAAAAGATGCAATTTTAAATTAGGTAAATCTATTGAACTTTTTTCAAGGATGTTTTTATCAAACTTTTTCTATCATCTTTCAAACTTTAATTAATTATAAATAGGATGTATTTGTCAAATACACATTATATGGGTTGGATCAGATATATTGTACTTTACTTGAGCAATGTTTTATATGCAAACTTATAAACTGGCATAATCATAAAAAAAAAGTAATAAAGAAGAGAAAAGAAAGAATCAAAGGCATTGTTTTGTAATTTACTCAAGTTTTTTCAAGATATTTTCTTAAATTTTTGTAAAAACAATATATTAAATAAAAATTAAGGAAAATATGCTTTTTATTATTTAACATAGGAACCAAATTAAAGCAAAAAAAATTTAGTTAAGAAATTTTTTTAAATTTCATTTTGAAACCACTCCCACCCCTATAGTAACATAAAATGTGTTTAAAACAAAACAAAGTAAATAGAGTTATTCTAATTAATATATTTGAATTGATGAAAGTTTGATGAAAATTGATGAAACAAAACACTTTAAAATTTTAATCTCTAAAGTCTATCTATAGACTAAACAAGTAAGATCAAATCAAAAGAACAAATGAGTTAACTCAAAAAGATATTTATGATTTGAATAAAACTTTCTTCCTCACTTTCACTATTTTCTCTCACTTGCACTATCTTTTAAAGTTACTGCAGCTAGATCTATGTTTATATTTCAAGAATGATCCTTGCTATGCCATTGGGTATTACGGACGTCTCTGCAGTTTCCATTCGTTTAAATTTATGATTATTGTAAACAAGCATTATAAATAAGCAAAATTGTTACAAATTTTTTAAAATTTTATCATAATTTCAATTTTCAAATTCAAGATTATTTGAATAATATTATTCAAGATTATTTGAATTTAAGGCTAAAATTCTTTTATTCAAATAGTTTACTTTTTAAAATGAATTCAAAAAAAACAACTTGCGTATTTATAGAAAGTTTTCTTGATAATAAATAAAATAAAAATTGAAAAAAAATGACTTTTTATATTCTATTCAAAAATTCTTGTTAAAGTAATTTTTAGTAGAAGCTTATTATGTGTTAAGATATAAATAGAAACAATTCTATTGCCAACTTTTGTAAGTAAATGTCTTTAAGCATATTTTAAGTATATTTAATAGTTTAGTAACTTAAATGTTTTAAATTAACTGGTTGTTATAGTAACTGGTTGTTTTGATTTAGTTTATAGATAAATTTCTGTGATGTTCTTTTATCCATTAGGTAAATCACAATAAATTTAACTTTAAAATAGAAGTATAGGATATTGGTTTCCACGCAATGATTTAAAGTAATTAAAGTATAATAGTGCTTTATATTGAACGAAAATCACAGCGCGAGAGAACAAATTATCATACTTCTATTTAATAGTTAAATTTAGCGTGGCATACTTAATTAGTTGTTTTATATTTTATAGAAAGGCCAAAAAAAAATCCTAGATTAAAAAAGATAAAAAGAAAAAGTTGTGAGAATATATTTTTTAATCAAAAACTTATTGTGAAGGTGCAAAAACCAATTGCGATTCGCAATACGCCTAATTCGAGTCCTGTAACAATTTTAGGGTGGTTCTTAAAACAGTAAATTGCGAAATATCTGCTGGTATGTATATATATATATATATATATATATATATATATATATATATATATATATATATATATATATATATATATATATATATATATATATATATATATATATATATATATATATATATATATATATAGTAGCTGCCTTTTGTTAAGTCATACAAAAATCTCTATATAATATATATATATATATATATATATATATATATATATATATATATATATATATATAGTAGCTGCCTTTTGTTAAGTCATACAAAAATCTCTATATAATATATATATATATATATATATATATATATATATATATATATATATATATATATATATATATATATATATATAGTAGCTGCCTTTTGTTAAGTCATACAAAAATCTCTATATAATATATATATATATATAGTAGCTGCCTTTTGTTAAGTCATACAAAAATCTCTATATAATATATATATATATATATATATATATATATATATATATATATATATATATATATATATATATATATATATATATATATATATATATATATATAGTAGCTGCCTTTTGTTAAGTCATACAAAAATCTCTATATAATATATATATATATATAGTAGCTGCCTTTTGTTAAGTCATACAAAAATCTCTATATAATATATATATATATATATATATATATATATATATATATATATATATATATATATATATATATATATATATATATAGTAGCTGCCTTTTGTTAAGTCATACAAAAATCTCTATATAATATATATATATATATATATATATATATATATATATATATATATATATATATATATATATATATATATATATATATATATATATATATAGTAGCTGCCTTTTGTTAAGTCATACAAAAATCTCTATATAATATATATATATATATATATATATATATATATATATATATATATATATATATATATATATATATATATATATATATATATTATATAGAGATTTTTGTATGACTTAACAAAAGGCAGCTACTAAATGACAACAGTGTCCAGAACACATTAGCCAACATTCATTGGATTACTTGGAGAAATTTGTTTGGTAATAGTTGTTTCCTAAACTACTTTTTTTTTTAATTTTGATTTACTCCCAACAAGGCTGCAAGCAACCACTATTAAGTTGGAAGTTACTAGAAAAAAGTTAAAGAGCAAGAAAATGGCTGACAGAAGATTTAAAAAGTTATAGGTTGTATGAGTCAAAAAAACACAAAGAATGGAGAGAGATGCGAAGTATTAAAGTGCCGTAAAAAAAAACTAGACAAATAATAGTTTTTAGAGCATGCAGGGACAGATGCAGTAAAAGAATGTGACTGGTGCAAGAATGAAGTTTGGTTGTTAGAACTAGAGATTGAGCAGCGACCTTGATACTATTTGTAGAAAAGAAAAAGATACTTTATGACAATTAGAGAGAGGCTCAAGCTTAGCAGATAAAGCAGGTCCAACTATGTTTACAATGCATTTGCAGACCTTTTTTAGAAGAGAAAGAGTATTATTAGAAGAACCAGCCCAATTATGACAACAGTACTCCATACAAGAACAAATTAAAGATTTGTAGAGGTAGAGAATGGAATCAGGAGTAAGATAATGGCAAGCATGATAAAAAGAAGTAGCCTTATCATGTATGGCTGGAAGAGTATGGCCATTAGATTCGGAAGTCGAATTAGAAAAGTTCTTTACAAATAATTCTGCCTTATTCTTGAGATAGATAAAATCAATCATGAATTAGAGAAGGAATGTAAGACTTCGAAATTAGTTAATGACACTTTTGAAGGCTTTCTAATAGTCTCTAGAGATTAACTTCTGAGAAAAGATATGAGGTTTAGTAAACTATGAATAATAGAACTTAGCTTCAGACAGCACCATTTTACATTGATTTCTTGCAATAATAAATAGGCGTTTGTTCTCAAAAGTTGTTCTTTTGAAAAAGATGAATAAATGAATACAATTTTATATAGCAGCTGCACAAGAAGATGAAAAGTTTGGAGTAGAATGAGGCTTGACTTAGAACCAACGATAAGGAATAAAAGCTTCTATACCTACCTGGATCTAGGAGGTTATGTAGGAGGCACTTTTTCAGCTGAGAGAGAAAAGACATTAACTCGAGGATGGTCATGAAGAAAATCATGAAAAGAATCCTAGTCAGCTTTTGGATAGTTAGTGAGTCCGAAGAAGTATGAGATAAAAGATTTATAGAGATGATTGCAGCGTCAGAACCACCTAAAAAATAACAAGGAGAAACTGAACACAAGCTAGGGTCAGAGGTAAGTCACAAATCAAGGAGTGAAGGTAAATGATTAGGATTGTCTGGAAAATAAGTCACAAAGTTAACTTTTTGTGTTAGAGGCTGAAAAAAACAAAAGTTATGGGATTTAGTGCCAGCAGGAGGGGTGGTGTTAGAGCCAAGCTATTCAGTATAATGAACATTAAAGTCACCAGTAACAACAGTATTGGCAGATGGGTAAAGAGAAAGGGCATGGTCAATTTGATCAGAACTTACATCCTAAAGAGTGCAGTCTTGAGAAGGTGAGCCATAAAAAATAAAGAGAAAAATGAGTAAAGAGGTGCTAAGCGGAAACACATAAAAGAGTTGTCTGTGGATTCGAACCTGATTTCTTAACAAATAGGTGAATTAATATATACGTTTACGCTCAAGCCAACCATGTGATTAATGAAGTCTTAGGATAGATACTGTTTAAAAATTACTGCTGTTATACAAATTTTATGGATTCAATATGTTACGCATAGGTTTTTTCTCTACTGATATAGGTAATGTCAGTGATGAACATGGTGTAAGGTTTCAGCAAGCTATTTTTGTTATGGAAAAACGCTACCGTAGTAAATAGTTATCTGAAAGGCTAAATAGCTTTGTTAAATGTTGCTGCACAATGTTCCTGATGTAGATTGCAAGCAGGCTTCTCAAGCCAAATACTTTTAAAATAACATGGTTTCAAAGAAAAGACCTACTCTATGCTCAGAGTCACACAAACTTTTTAGATTTTTGTATGTTTAATGAATAACTAATGGTTTTGTGAAATATAATATCTTGCTTTACATAAAATTACAAATTTTAATCCTGCAGGATACACCTCCGTGTTTTATTTAATTGTGTATTTAATGTTTGTAAAGCAAAAGTTAATGTGTGCCTTTATCACAATGCTAATATTTGATCTTCAATTTTTTATTATTCTTACAGTTTCAGACTTAATTCTTAATCAATGGATTAATCTTAACCATGGGATTAATACTCACCAGTGGAAAATTCACAAGCGGAAGTTTTGGATTGTGAAGTTCTCACAGAAGTTTTTAATGTTGATCTAATAATCTTTTTGATTTAATTGTTTTTGTTTTCTCACCAAAAGTGAACATTCGACCCAATCATTTGTTATCATATAGTTTGTGTTGCATCAATGTAATGCAACAAACTAGTTGAACATTTTCTGCAATAGTTTTCTTTATCAAAAAAAACATTATTCGGATTATTGTTGGTATTGTCTAGGAGAATAAAGCTACAATTAAATGTCCATTAGTGCTTTCTTTTGTGTTTCTGTTTTACGCTTTTCTCAATGTAAATTTTTTTGTTTGTTTTAGGAGATAATATTTTTTTACAAGTTATCTGCTGTGACCTATTGGTTTTACTTTTAAATATACCTCCTTTTTTTTTACCTTATACAAACAGTTTTCATAATTGAAAAGGGTTAAATAGTATTTGATAAATTTTTGTAGATAACATTCTGTCTAAAGATGACAGAATGGTTTTTGTTAAATTATTTACAGTAAAATCTGTCACACGTACTACGGTTAACTAGACTTATCACTTTGTATATGAATCCGAATGATATAAATCAGAAGCAAAGTTTTAGAAACAACAGTAACAAGTAATAAGAAACAACAGTAACAAGTAATAAGAAACAACAGTAATAAGTAATAAGAAACAACAGTAACAAGTAATAAGAAACAACAGTAACAAGTAATAAGAAACAACAGTAATAAGTAATAAGAAACAACAATAATAATAAAAAATTTAACTATGATCAAGTAAACTTGTCTTTTCTTAACAACAATTGGTTTTTAATTTTAAAATGTTGGAATAGGCTTTTACTTTTTTACGTTAGTAAAACGTTATTAAAAATATTTTTATGCTGGTAAAATATTATCATACTTTTATACAGTATGGTGGGAAAAAAAGCAGTTACAAAGAAGAGCAACTCTTCAAATATTAATAACTGTGATGATCACTAAAAACAAAGAGCAATTGTGTAATAAAGTAGCGTTCCTTTTTATTTTTAACTAAATATGTGTGTTATTATAAATATATACTTTTGCTATAAAATATTTTTATTTTTTATAACTTCTTCAAAAATTATTTATATATATTATTCTATTTTACTCTTATTTAATTGGTAAAATGGTTTTAACCGTTTTTTAGCGACATCTTGTTTGTTTTAACCGTCTTTTTCTTAAGTGATCTTGTTTTTTAGAACAAATTTATTTTATGTAGCGTTTTAGTCATAATATTAAAATTATAATGTTCATTTATATTTTTTATCAGGAGACGCAATACTATGGAACTGTATTAAAAGTGAATGAACCTGTTGGAGTCATTGGTATTGCTTGTCCAGATGAATCACCTTTTCTCTCTTTCATTTCACTTATGGCTCCTGCTATAGCACGCGGAAATGCAATCATTATTGTGCCTAGTGAAAAGTTCCCTTTGCCAGCGCTTTCTCTTTATCAGGTATTTTAACGGTATTTATGTTTAAAAAAATTACAGTTTTTTAGGAAATTGAAAGAACTCAAGTAATTTTGTTTTAAAGTTACTTGAGTTTTTTTATTTCAAATGATTTTGTTTTTAAAGGTGTTGGATACTTCGGACTTACCAGGTGGTGTAGTCAATATTTTAACTGGAAGTCGTGATCATATATCTAAGATCCTGACTGAACACCAAAACGTTAATGGAATGTGGTATTTTGGATCTAGGGAAGGCAGCCATTTTGTCGAATATACATCTACAGTAAATGTTAAACGTACATGGGTTAACTACGGTCTAGCACGTGATTGGACAGATAATATTCAAGGTTGTGGAGAAGAGTTTTTGATACACTCTATTGAATCAAAAAATGTTTGGATTCCCATGGGACACATTTTTGCTAATTAGTTTTTCTATAATTTTTATAAATTTTTATATATATATATATATATATATATATAAGAAAATATTTACTAATATATATTAACAATACATTTACTAATATATTTTGATGATATACTTAATATATTTTTATAAGTCATATGTGTAATTTTTTAAATGATTCATTTTTTTTCTCTTGCTTGTTTAAATTTGTCTTCTTTAACAAAATCAAACAAACAAGACTTCTGTAAGTTGACCATAATGTTCCTATCATCAGAACTTTTTTACAAGTTTAAAACTTTTTTACAACAAGAAAAAAGAATAAAAAATTACGATAAATAGTGTTATAGATCTGAAAATATAAATCTGAAGAAAATCCTTATGCTATAAATAATAAAAAAGTTGGACGCTAATTATCAGATTTTGTTACATTGTTTTTCATTTTCATTTTGATTTGGCAAAAAATTTTATTATTAACGTGCTCTCAATCTTGATGTCGCGGTTGGGGCTTAATTTTATTCTATCAAAGTATAACGCAGTTTTTCATAATTTGAATGAAATTTGTTTTCTATATTTATTTTATTTATGATTAATAAATTGATTTTTATTTGCTTTGCGAGGTGTAAGGTTGGTGTGCCAAACTAAAAAAAAAAATGACAACTTAAAGTGAAAATTGGCCAAAATGGTGTAGTTTTTTACTACCTTAATAGCATACGGCGTTTTCAGAAAAACGAAGAGTAGTAAAAGAAAAAATTGCTGCCCTATGCCAAACCTTCATTTAGCGGTACTCTGAAGATAGAGTGGATTAGTAAAAATAAATTCAATTTTTCAAAAAGCAAACTTTAAAGAATATAATCTCCTATGCAAAACACTAACTTAACTTTTATGTTTAAAAATTACTATAAAGTTTTTCAATATTAAGGTGGTTCCTACAAAATCAAAAGTCAAAATTTTTTCAAAAATTGATTTTTTGGCAAATTAGATATTCTAATGTAAAATTTAACGCTCTTTCTCGTGGTATAATTTTTTTTTAAGTTTGTTTATGCTTTTTACAATATTTACAATTTTATACAGGTAGATATAATTTTAGTGCCTAGCAACAGCCATAGCAACCGTTTTATTTATTTAGTTATTATCTTAAATGAGCTTTAAAACTTAAAATAGTACATCTCTTTTGCTATTCTAATGCTGCCTTGTACGTCCAAGTTGTTAAATATTTAATCATTATAAGTTAAGCTGTTGCAGAGTGCAAACAGCAGGCAGGCTTTTTTATAATAATATTTTTACTTTTTACTGTTTTCTAATGTGTTTGTTGAAATTATTTAACATTTTTAGTTAGAATCTAGTAAAATAATAAAGATTTAATATGGCTAACCTTCGAAATAACAAAAGAAAGTCATCAAGAAAGGGTGTTGGTGGTCGTGGTTGTAGAAAATCTGTACATATTGTAAATAATAAATGTGATATCAATTGAAATAAAAAAAATGTAAATATTGAAAATATCACCAAAAAAGAGTTTACCATTAAACCAGCTGAACATTCTGGAAGTATTGATGATTACTTTTTATTTACAAATTTTAAAATACTCATGGAAATGATAGCAGTTGAAAACAAGTGTCAAGAATGTGGGGAAGCCAATGTCACAATATCTAATAATTTGGATGATAGAAAGGGATTTTCTCATAAAATTGTTTACTTTTGTAAAAAATGTAAAAATAAAAGTCACAAGTATACTTCGCCTTTTAGTGCTTCTGAAAAAATGAATGGTTGTAAGCCGAGTGAAATTAATATTCGATTGGTTATGGCATTTCGAGAAATTGGTAAAGGGCATGAATTAATTAAAACATTTGCACGGTGTATGAACATGCACTCAATATCTAATACTGCTTTTAGAAATATTAATAATAAGTTATTTTCTGCATATGAAAATTCTGCAATAGAAAGTATGCAAAATGCCTCAAATGAAGCAAAAATGGAAGAAATTGTCCCAGGTATACATTCTTGTCGTGTATCGATTGATGGAACTTGGCAAAAAAGAGGACACTCTTCGTTGAATGGTGTAGTGACAGCAGAAAGCAAAGGAAAGTGTTTGGATGTTATTGTTTTATCAAAACATTGTAGACAGTGTATAATATGGAGTGGAAAAAAAGGGACAACAGAATACGCAAATTGGAAAGTTGCACATAATTGTAGAATTAACCATCCTAAGTCATCAGGAGCAACGGAAGCCTCAGGTGCTATTGATATATTTCAGCAATCTGTAAGTCGAAATAAACTAGTTTATAATGAGTATCTTGGAGATGAAGACACAGCGTCTTACAAAGAAGTTGTTAACTCCAAACCCTACGAAGCGTAGTTTGGTATTACACCTGTTAAACTTGAATGTATTGGACATGTAAACATAAGAATAGGTTCTCGACTTAGGACACTAGTACAAGAATATAAAAATACCTCTACACTATTTGGTGGAAAAAAAAAATTGACTAACAACTCCATTAATTCAATAACAAATTATTATGGTATTGCCATTCGAAAAAGTTTAAAATTAAATTGCTCTAACGATGAAAAAATTTACACAATGAAAAAGTGGATAGGTACTATCCTTCATCATTGCACCAACTTTTCTAACTTAGATAAGCGCCACATGTTTTGTCCACATGGAGAAGAATCATGGTGTAGTTATAAAAAAAATAAATTTAAAAAACACAAAGAGAGGATTAGTTTACCAGAGTGGATGTTTCCTACCTTGTCAAAGATTTTCCAAGATCTTTCAAATGATGACCTTTTTCGCAAGTGCATCCACGGGGAAACTCAAAATGCTAATGAGTCCCTGAATAATCTTATCTGGATGAAATGTCCTAAGCAAATCTTTGTAGAAAGATCAATTCTACAGTTAGGTGTATATAGTGCTATTCTTCAATTCAATGAAGGTCCATTTGAACTTGTTAAAGTGTATGAAAAACTTGGAATACAGACCGGTGTCAAATAAATTTATTATTTGTAAGTTGTGGTTAGGGAACTAAGATCAGAGGCCTAGTAGCAGATTTTTTAAAAATACAGTTGTTTTGAAGCATAACTTTTAGTAGAAACAGGATCTTTTAATAAAAAAAACTCACGCACTAGATACAGGTAACACGCACAAGTATACCAAGTTTGAAAGTAAAATGAGCTTTTACTCATAAGTAATTGTGTTTCTAGTAAACTCTATTTTTAGGGGTTATTTTGACTATTATAGGCCCCTATGTGATCATCTATATATTTTTGGAGTTCGAAAATATATTTTTTTTTACACATTCTGTACCTACTTTTGAGAAAATTAATGCTTAATGAATAGAAAGTAACTTTTTTTGATTACATAGGAACCACCTTAATACTAAAAAAGTTAAAAATCTTTTACTTGTAATAAACTTTTAACTTACATATTTTAATTTCTTATAATGTTAATAAAAATACCTAATATGAACTTATAAACAGTTTATTTCTACAATATTCTACAAATCGCTTATTTGCTCTACAATATTCTAAAATTCTACAAATTGCTTATTTGTTCTACAATATTCTTCAAATCGCTTGTTTGTTCTAACTCCATTTTATAATATTAAAAAAACTTTTGCATATCTAAGAATTGTTGTTTTTCAAATATTTTTTTTATTTTTTATAAACAAGTAAAATTAAAAGTAATTAATATTTTTTTAAATTATATAAAAAGAAAGTAAAAAATAAAGGCTATTGTTTAAACAGTTATTTACGAGTCATTTTTTATTTTCATCCGACATTCATTTATTTATTCATGATATCTTGTTCAACTTTAAACCTTAAAAGTCAAAAAGTTAGCATATCCTGGTGGCGCATACTTGCTTCCTAACCTCTAGATCTCTCACTGTGCCCGATAACAATCTTTGTCTCCTATTGACTATTTATAATATGAGGTTGTTTGTTTAGTTTGGTAAACTGGTGATGTGAGATTAACTTTTTGGGTTATTTTTGTTTCCAGGCGCCAATCAAAGCATATTTTTATTTTTGCAAAACTTTATCACTTAACTGAAGGATAAACATACCTAAGTTTAGAGTTTGAGCAAAGCCCGAAAGTATCATATTTAAAACATTTAAAAAATTAACAACATAAAAACATTTAACTTGTTATTTATTGAATGCTTGGGGTCTGTTTTAACTAGGTAGCCTCCATTGTTTATCATTCAAGGTTTTGAGCTTGAATACACATTTGAATACACTTTATATATTAAGTTAAATGTATGGTAAAAGTTTTATTACGGCTGCGTTAAACAAATACCAATATCTGAAAAATATAAATGATTACTTTAAGTGTTTATGCGTTTTTTGTCAAAGCTTAGTCAAAAAACAATATTTAAAACATACTAACAGGGTGCGCAAATCATGGTCTAAAAAATCTCGGTATTTTACGCAGCCTTTATACTTTCATACTGCGGTTGCTGCAGGACATTAAGCATAGTATATACCTCATTAAAAATAAAAAAATATATATCTTTTAATGTTTTATTTTGGCTAAAATATTATACATTATAATCAAAGAATATTATAATCATAGAAGTAAGAATATTTTTACAAACTTTGTTGTATTTTTAAACTACAATTTTTAATTTATTTTTTCGACTAAAAAGTTTTAAAACAGTTGATAAAAACAATTTCAAATCTTTTAATTATTATTATAATAATTAACATAAGTTAAAACCATTGTTTAAGAGTTCGGAAATGATAACAACTCAAGTAATATTGACTTTGTACCAGTTTTAAAATCTAAAATTATTGCTGTAAACATTACAGTTTTTTATTATTATTTTTATTTCTATTTTTAAACAACCTTAATATTGGTTAAAACAACAAAAGTAAAGTTTTAAACGCATAAAACACCGGGTTAAACAAGACACTAAAAATAATAATTTAAACAACTAAATAATTTGACATTTTATTGTTTTAGTTGAGGTTCTTTCCGTCAAACTGTCGCAGGAAGCAAGACAGAAAAATGGATTTAGAATTTTCAAAACATATACTTCGTTTTTAAAAACATTTTTTACTGCTATACTAAAAAAATCCCATGCATTCGAAAAAAGCATGAATTGAATATCTTTTGTATTCGAAATGCGTTAGAATAACGGTCAACTTGTTTTTATACCAATCGTCTCTTTTTGTACCAATCGTCTTAAGAAAGCTCGATCATAACGTTCAAATTGTCGTCGTAGTCGTTTTTTTGATTTTAAATTTTTTGCCATAATTTTTCATATAGACCTGAATAATAATCGTAATGCAACAAAAATAAAACTATTATAATAAGTTTTAATAAATTTAAAAAGATATTTAAATAATATTCAATTAAAAAAAATGATTAAATTTATATATGCTTGAACAAAACTCAAACATAAACAAGTATGACGTAAGCATTTATACATGCAGTATTTAAAGCATCAATAATGATAAAAAAGAAAAAAAAGGAAGCATACCAGCAGCATAGTCGCCAAAAGTCGATTTTTCGTTATCCGATTCTTTTTCAAGTTCTGATATTTTTATTTTGAGCATGTTTTTTAGTTTGTCTATTTGGCAATAGATGTCAACTGTGCAAGCGTCGTACTCATCAAAAACTGGATTTTGTTTCAAAGTTATTTCATTTAAAAGTTGTTCGCGACATTTTTCAAACAATTTTGATGTTTCACCCAACTTAACAATCTTTCCTTTAATATACTTTATAGCCTCAAATAATTTTTCTCCATAACAAGTTCCTGAAAGAATTAAAAAAAAAAAATTAACTTACTATAAATAACCGAATAAGATAATAGAAATAGAAATAATGGTAAAGCTAACCATTAAAGTTGGCAAGTATATCCGCTTTAGCCCACGACGTACAGATATGCAATTCTGTTATCTTTGTTGAATTGCAAATGCAAGGAGCTATGATTAACAACTTTATTTTTAAAAGCAAAATCAATATAATGTAATATAATGTAAAAAAAGTTTGATTTGATTGAAAAAAATTCATTGTGCGTTTATATTTGTATTTTAAATAAGTATGAAACAATTAATCATATCAAAAGAAAAAATATATAACTGTTTAAATTAACATATTTAGGACACAACTAATATTCAAAGCATACATAAATTTCATACAGATTTTTTTTAGCATGTTTAATATAACTTTTTTTTTTCATTTCTTTGAAGTCTTTTTTCAGTCTATTATGAAAGAAATTTTTTTGAAATTTTTATGGAGTTTAAGTTGAAAATCTTTTCAAATAAAACTATTCAAAAAATCAAAATTAGCAAGAAATACCATTTTAGACTTATGGTATATAGCTTAGAAGATGCCATAAACAATTTATTGATGTAACTATTTTATTAATTTAAATAATTATAGTTACTTTATAAATTCTTAAATATTATAATAGTTGTAAGATATTTATAGAGAATTTATTTTACCTTGTGCTTCGATATTTTTTGTATTGAAGAAAAACAAAATAAACAGAAGGAACATTTTACAGTTTAATGAGTAACAAAATACTCAAAAACAATTCATGTAAATATTAGGCTGTTAAAAATATTCTTGGATTATTTTATAGTAAATTAAAATTAATCGTTACGCAATGTATTTTTAATATGTATATTGCCTTATTAAAAATTGTTACAATGCACATCCGAAATGTGGCGAAACATATCCTTTACATTTCTTTCTTTGCTTTGTCATAATGAAGAATTGAAGACATAAATGAAAAATGACTTCGTCAAATATTATAAAAGATAATTTGTTCACAACGTAATCTGCGGACGATAAGAAAAGAGGTTGAGCGAGAAAATTTTTCTAAGATGACTCACCAAAGTTTTCTTTTCGAATTTATTCAAAAGTACAATTTGATAATAAAATAAGTAACCTATTTGTGCCCTTTTTGCTTTTTTGCATATTTATCCTTTTAGCTTTTTCGCATATTCTTTGTTAATTTTTTGTTAGTAACACGCACACACACACACACACACATTATAATCAGATCATCCTAACACTATTTAAAGAAAATAAATTTATTTCTAAAATTAATTGTTTTCTGTTAAAAGCTATGTAATTTAAATAATTTTGGATTGCTTTTATTCCCTCAAAAAACATTTTTGTATAGTAGATTTTTTATGTTAAGAAAACTCACTCTTTTTTAAATATTTTTTATTTTACATTTTATATATAAATATATATCTTTTGATACATTGAATTTGAAATTCCATGGTTTGGAGATATTTTTTTTGTTTACGCGTTATTTGTTTGTTTAATTTATTAGTTTAATAAATTTCTTAGTTAATCACAATTTGGATTGTTATAATTTTTTTTAGAAGATTAAAACGTAGAGGTATCAAGCCATTTATCAAAAATTATCTGTTTTCCGAAATAAACCGGGGTGATGCTTTATGTAGGATATTATTTACATTATATTTAAAAAAAAAAAAAGGAATTTGTTACACTATATTCATGATTGTTATAAAACGACTTTGTTGTTTTATAATAATAAATTTATTTTTTTGAAAAAAGAAATTTTTTATTATTTAGTTAAGAGTAATAAATTGAACGCATATGTAGATTAATAACAAAGCAAAAAAAAAAAAAAAAATTATTATGTAGTCTAAAAGATTAATATCATATTAAAAATGATATTGACAAATGATATTGTAACCAAAATACTGGGAAAATTTTTAATTTCCTTTAAAGCGTTTTAAAGAAATGTGTAAAGGAAAAGGATATCTATTTAATCATTGTTACTAAAATGTTATTTTCAGTAACAACAATAAACACTTCAATACAGTAATAACAATAAAAAAACATCAATTCACCTTTAAAGTTATAGTACTAGGTAAAAAAAAAAACTGTTAAAGATAAAAAAACTAGTCAATTTTGTTAATAGTAATTTACTTATATTTACCAACTTATATTTTAATTATATACTTATATTTTAGTATTAAAATATTTTCTTTCCTTTCTTTTTTTTTTTTTTTGCATTTAAATTTTTTTCGGTCCACCTCTCCCTCTTAAACTCCAAAAAACTTCCAAAATTAATATTTAAAATAAACAGTTGCTAAGACAGTTGCTAGAACAGTTTTGTAGCTTTTAAATTAAAATTTAAAAGTTTAAATTTTCAAAAAAATAATAAAAAAATTTATAAAATTTACTTTAAGTTTATGACAAACGACAAACTAAAATGCCTTTCCTTAATTCCAGACATATATATTATAGTTTGAAGTATTTGTTTTCAGATTTTCAAACTTTTTTTTTTTGGCTTCATATTTGTTTTAATTTTTTGTTTTCAATTTTTTACACTAAAAAAAAAAATTAGTTTTGCTTCATTGATTTTTTATATTACTTTAAAAATTATAGTTTTTTTTTTTAATGAGTGACTAAAGGGTTGAAATGAAAAGGTTGTAATGATAAACGCATCATCCTTACCTTTTTTGAGTCCCTGACTGATTATAACAGTATATTTCTATATATATATATATATATATATATATATATATATATATATATATATATATATATATATATATATATATATATATATATATATATATATATATATATATATATATATATATATATATATATATATATATATATATATATATATATATATTATATATATATATATATATATATATATATATACATATATATATATGTGTGTGTGTGTGTGTGTGTGTGTGTGTGTGTGTGTGTGTGAGTGCGTGTGTATTATATAAAAAAAAAAGTTAAAAACGTTTTTTGTCAAGGTTTTTTATGTTTACGATGTTATTTATCTTATATGAAAAATTGTAATACTGTTTAATCAGCGAAATAAAAGTTAAATAATAATAAAGTTAAAAAAACAAAATACTTTCTTCACTTAGACATGTTTTTACTATTTATATTTAAATAAATAGCAAAAATTTAATGTTATTTATTTCATGTTTTTGCTATTTATATCTTATAAAAATTAATTATATGTTAAATTAAAATTACCTTGTTTTCATTTTTTGTTGATCAGTTGACACATTTAGTTGAACAGTTAAAAGTAAATCATTTTTTTGAACGTTTTTAAAATTAAATATTTTTTTAATTTTGAAAAACAAGTTATTATTATAGATAAAAACTTATTATTATAGATAAAACTTATTTTAAAAGAGTTTTTAGTTTTACCCCCGTTCCTGTACACTATATTTACCCCCAATTTCTATACAACATTGTACATTATGTACACTGTTGTATATAAATATTGTGCTGAAATTTTCAATAAACTTTTAATTTCCTTTTAAGGCTCATATCTAAATTTGCTTAGGAAAAGAATCACAATTGACACTTTTTTTTAAGAATAACAAATAAAGCATTGTTTATTTTTCAGGAAATTTGTTTAGAAATATATATGAAGTTAATCAAAAAAATCAATTAATTTGGAATAAAAAGCAACTATTGAAATTCATAACACTTGGAACTTTTATCTTAGATGTGTTTATTAAAAGAAGAATGTTGAAAAGGGTGTTAAAAAAAAAGGTGTTTAGGAAAGATAAGTTTTGTATTTAAATCTTAAACTCTTGAAGTTAATATTTATTTTAAGTTCACTTTTAGATATGAAGCAAACCAAGTATTTGTACAATTATACCTAATAAAAGTTATACACAAACTTTTTTTAGGTATAATTGTACAAACAAAAGACTAACAAAAGCGTTTGTCAAAAAGACCATGCAGATTTCAGGACAATCTAGCCTATTTTTAAATACATGCGCCATGCACCATGCACCATGCACCTAACTGAGAAAACTAATCAAAATCTTTCCAATAAAAAACTTGCTCAACCTCTTGCTTTCATAAACTATGGCGTACTATTTTTATTGGTTTCATAAACTATGGCGTACTATTTTACTTAGCAGTGATTTTGCCATTATAGTTGCAATTTTTTTGTGGGAAGATAGATTCAACAGTTTCATCCTTAGAATTTTTATCATATTGATCTCTGATATATCACTATTTGGTTTAAATAAACACTTTTTTGGATTTGTTGCTGTTCTCTTCAAAGCTGCAGCTAGTTGTAGGTTTTTTACCCTGAACACGGCAACATACTGCTTGCTAACTTGCTACATTTGGATTTCAAAATAATGCAGTGTTTAAGGCATATTACTTTGTTGCACCACAAATGTTTTTAGTAGATGCTTTTTTCTTTTTAAATTTAATAAAGGTTCTTCTTTCTCTTTTTTCCATCATTTTTTACTTATACTTGAACTTTTTTTTTATGTTTATATTTTCAACTAAACTCAAAACATCTTCAACTTTCATGGGTCTATGAACTTAATTTATTTGGATTGCATTGATCGATAGATTTAGTTTTATTTTTTTACTAGTCATAAGTTCTTGAATCTCATTTAGTTGGATAGTCTTTTATGCAGTTTATTAATTAGAGATTGCCTTATTTTTTTTTTACCAATACAGGCTGATTCACTTCATTCTTCTAACAATTTAGAGCAGTATTGACATTCTTTTCCTATCTTTATTTTATCATCTAAACCTTTTATTGACTTTCAATTTTTAATCAGCGGTAAAATTCCTGATTTAAGGGCACATAATTATGTAATACTACCTTCACACCAGGGCCGCCGAGAGAGAGAGCAAAAGAAGTTTACGTGGCCCAGGCGCTAAGATAATTGGGGTATCAGAAGACAAAATACAAAAAAGAACATAATGAGATATTAATTACAACAATGTGTATAGCAATTAACTTTGCTTTATTTATATAATTCTATTTTGTAAGAACTATAGTTTTAAACAACTTATTTCTTTTCTTTGGTTGGTAGGACCAACAAAAAAATTTTTTTACTTGTTTTTATATTGATGACATAAAAGTAGACATTAGGCCTTATCCAAATAAACATTTTATTGTTACAGATAAATTTTATCAGTATATTTCATGAAAAAAATTAATCTGAACGCAAACTAAATGTCACGCTTACCCTCAAAAAAGGAAATAAAATCAAGACTTATAACTACACGCTAGTGTCTCTCATATTTACCGTGCAAAGTAAAGGAGGAAATTATCTTAGGATTAAATTAGGAAATTATTGATTATGTAACACTCAGCATAATATAATATTAATGTTTTAACATGGATTTATACATTATACACAAACCAGATTGTTTTCCGTAGCATTTAACAGAAGCAGTTTACCGTGGAAACCTCGTAGATATAATTTTTACTGACATTTCCAAACCATTCAACACAGTGTCACACTACAAACTCTTTATAAAGTTCATGCCTATGGCATTTCAGGCCAGCTTTTTTCTTTTAAATGTTGATTTAGGTTGATTTAGGCGCCCCAAGAAGTCCTTTAATACGAAGTTCACGCCTCCTTCCCAACCGATGTCGCATAACTTGTCCAGAAGTGGGGTTTGAACCACGGATCTTACGTTTCTGAGGCAAGTGCGTTACCACTGCGTCACGGCTGCTCTAAGCAAGAACAGTTTTAAGCAGTTGTGCGACCAGTCTATTGGGCTGTCGATGTCCGCTGGCAGTTTTTCATAATCAGAGGAAAATAAAATTAATAAATTAAATAAAATAATATAAAAAGCTTAAATTAAATTGAATCACTGGTTGGCTAGCTAATAAACAACAATGAGTAATAATTGGAGAATAAACGTTTGAGTGAAAAATGGTGACAAGTGGCGTCCCGTTTTGTTTTTGCATCATTGCTATTTGTGTTCTCCGTCAATGATTTTCACAGACTGCATTTATAAACATACCAAATACGTCGATGATGGCAAGATCATATGAGTTATATCAATCTATTTTCCTCTGATTATGAAAAACTGCCAGCGGACATCGACAGCCCTGTAGACTGGTCGCACAACTGCCTAAAATTGTTCTCGCTTTTAGTTCATCCAACTTTTCGAAATGAATATGGCACAGTTGATTTCATTAGAACTTTAGACAAACTTTTTAATTTGTTACACTTTAAAAACTTTTTTCAAATATTACATATACCTTATATCAAGACTTTAAAATTATTTTAAATTTTGAAATATAAATTGTCATTCATTTTTGAGACTAACAAAAGTGTTCTTTAAAATAATAATTTTACTTTAAAAGTAAATAAAATATTTGAAGTACTCTCGAGACCTTAATGCTAGGGGAGGGATGAGGGGGGGGGGGATGAAAGGAGGGGGCGGAAGGTGAGAATTTTAGTCCAGATGTGGGTAGGAATTTTTTCATGCTACAATATAGGTATTTTTTATAAAAAATTTCAGTTTATAAATATAAACTAACACTTTTTAAAAAACACTCAAAACTATTTTTTAAAATGCGCATTTGGCAGTAAGTTACACTCTAGTGTAACTTACGGTGCCAAATGCGCATTTTTTAACAGCTGTTCTATCATAATTTCAATAGGATTTAATACGCTGATATAAGTTTTACATTTGGTGAGAAACGTAAAGCTCTTTTTCGACTAATCGGTCGGCGATTTTTTTTCGGTCGGCGATTTAAAAAACAGTTTACACTAAAAGTTTTTGTTTTTATCAGTGACTAAAAGAATTATTCTCTAATTTTTAAGGCCGATTTTCACTGATGAGAGAAGGAGGAGGCTTAATAAGCTTGGGGTGGAAGGGAAAATTTTCCCAAAATTAATAAACGTTCTCTCTTTTATTAAGGACTCAAGAGTATATCATTTTAAAATATCAATACATTTTGATTTTGTCTAATTGGTAAAATATGACTTAACACAGATAAATAAAATTAACGCTACATATAGTTCTATGTATCTTTAATTTTATTTAAACATGTACATATCGTCGCTGCAAAAGAAAAATATCTTTTTCCATTTTTGGCAAAATTGACTTTTTTGGTTTAAAACACTCCTTAAGTGCACAAAAGTCATCTCACAAAGTATGTAACCAAAAATGATTCAACTTTTGCAACAATGAGTAAAACTCAAATATCTTATGTCCTAAAAAAAATAATTAAGAGACATCGTTGCTGTCCAACAAATCTTAAGTCCATTTTTTGGCAAGAAAAAAAAACTTTTTTGGTTTAAAATACTTAACGCATAAAATTAACTAAAAACAAGTAGATTTAAAAATAGTGTTTAAAAAAATCAGTAGCGGTAATTAAATTTAAAACTTTAAATGTCTTTTTCTCAGTAAAATAAAAACGAACTTAAGATTGTCTTATTTTGCAGCGGCAATTTAAATAGTAGATTTTTGACATATTTTATATAGTTTTAAGACTATCTTAAGTCCATTTGCTTTTTATAAACTTGTTGGTTTTTATAAACCTAAAATTTTATTTTTTATTTGTTATATTATGAAAAATAATAACATATTCTATAAGTATTTTAAAAACAATTTAGTTTAATAGAGAAGATCAAACGCAGCGATGAATTAAAAACTTTAAATGCGTTTTTCTCAGAACGGACTTAAGATTTGTCGTAAGTCTTGTTTTGCAGCGACGATATAGTCACATAATTGAATGATTTGCAAATGCTCTTTGTTTTGCTGGAAAAAAAAACTGCAGTTTTTTTTCTTAAAACAAATTCACTGCCAACAATTCTTTCAGCAACAAGTAATTAAGTTAACAAAAAATACAGAGTTAAAGGGCTAGGTTAAGAGGTATATTGACGGAGAAAATGGAATCAGGAATTAAAAAATGGCGAGCACAATCAAGAGAAGCGATAATACCACATGCTACCTTAACAATGGATTGTACATATGGTTTCCATGAAAGGTCAGTAGTAGACGATAATATGAAATAATGTAAAGTAGAAGACTCAGTTAAAAAGTTGTCATTCATCAATGTAGTAATGCGACTTGGTTTTATTTATCAATATAGGAATGCGATTAGACCTTTTTTTGTGAAACCTCGGCACTCTGAAGCTACGAAAAATAAAATAATAAAAAATTTAAATTTATTACCAAAAATACAAAGATTTTACTCATTAACACTGTCATTAAAAATCTTTACATGCAAATTAAGAAACTAATTTGTTACTTCATTATCATAAATGTACTTAATACATCAAATATATGAAGTATCAAATATATTTAAACAATTAAAAGTTTAAACTTTTTTGAGAGTAAAAGAACCAAAGTTTAAAGAATGAAAATGGAAAAATTAATAGCGAATATCTTAAAGTTATATTGATAATAAAGATTTTCTCTTCTTGTTCACAAGCATTACCGAATTCTTTTGTAAAACATTTATTTGACACATTAGTATTAACATACCAAAAATGGGAGCATGCCTATTTCCTTATCACCTTTTTAAACAAAAATCGCTAGTTTTTACCTGCTATTAATGTTTATCCACACATAAATACAAAATTTACACTTTGATCTTACATGCTTACCGTTAATCAAAATAAATATTATTTTGGATAAGCGAGTTTTATTATTAAATTAAAACATCCACACTAAAAATATATTTAAAAACTTTTATTTCTTAAAGATCTGATTAAAATTCTCGAACATTTAAAAATCTGTATATTGAAATATATAACTATATACATCTAGCATATAAAATTTATTTTATAACAAAATCTATCTATATATAACTCATTTTGATATAAAAACAAACAATGAAGCACTTTACAACTTTTATCTACTTTTTATAATACAAGGATTTTTTTGGTAAGAATTTCGAGAACTGCTGTATTTTTTTTTCTATTTCTCAAATAGAAAAAAAAAAAATTGGGACCATACTCACATCCCTCCGTTAGTCTTAAGATTAATGGGCAGAAGTAAACACAAACCTAGTTAGGATTACCTTTTTAAAAAATTTTAGATTTTAAGGTAGTAGATTCCCTAAAAAATAAAAGTATATTGCGACATATAACATTTATTTAAAAAAAAAAGAATTATTTTTATGAAAATACTTTTTTCTAAAGGTAGTTTATTTTCTTTTTATAGCTTGAAAATCTTGAAACTGCAGTGTTTTAAAAACTCTTGCAAATCTATTCAAATTAAAAAAAATATATATCTAATGTAAACACACTTAATATTCATTCCTTTAAAAAAAAAAATCTTTTTTTATTAAAATACATAACATATAAAAGATTATAAGCACACCATGTTCTTTGAACGTTTAGATTTTAGGAGAAATGCTACCTTAAAAACTTGTGTCAAATATATGGAAATGAAAAACTACTTTTTGCAATCATTCTTTCTTTGTAACACCCCTTGAATGACTAACTTTTGGCGAACGCGTACTTTTTCCGTATAGCACGTTTCCAGTTAGACTATTTCTCTTTCCTCTGTCAAGAGGTTTTAAAGAAATTTGAGAATCTTTAGTTTCAGAACTAACTGTAATTTGGCTAGATATCGATGACTAAAAAATATTAATTAGCATATATCTAGTAAAAAAAAAATATTGTAAACTCCGGTTACTGAATCAACTAGACCAACCTTTTAGAAAGTTTTAAACTTACATGAACAGAAATGTCAGAACTGCCTCCATTGATGCCAGAAGAATTCTATAAAAAATATTCATACATACATGTGTGTGCGTGCATACACTGATATGCACATATGTAATGTATTGTATGTATGTATGTATGTATGTATGTATGTATGTATGTATGTATGTATGTATGTATGTATGTATGTATGTATGTATGTATGTATGTATGTATGTATGTATGTATATTCTTTTCAGCACAAAATGAGAACATACTTTTAAAAATAAGACAATTTTTTAAATTTTATTTAAAAACATTTTGTTTAAATTTGAGACATGTTTCGACTGTATACAGTCATCGTCAGTTAAAATATGTTTGTTAAAAATGGTATAAAATGTAATATATAATTGTAAAAATAAACACATTATTTTTACAATTATATACTACATTTTATAATTTCATAAAAAAAACTTCATAAAAAGCCATAAAACTGATAACACTCTATATATACGAAAATAATTATTTTATATTAAAAATCATTTAACAAATGTCAAATATAACAAAAGAACCGGTAAATTATTTTAAATGGTAAGAGCCATTTTAATATGATTTACTTGTTTTTCTTATCGAGTTTTTCCTATCTGAACACTTTCTTAAATTTTTAATTCAATTTTGTTATTGGCACGATCTAAAGTAGAAAAGCCTTCATCAGTAAAATTAGTCCTATAATTAGTAAAACATTTTTCTTTTGAGTGAAGATGCTTATAAATAAGAGAGTTTTTATCCCTTCTATAGTGTTCAATCATTTGTGTTTTTAAGTGGCGAGAAGTTTTGCTCATATAACAGGATTTACATCCTGCACAACAAATTTGTAAACAACGAATGATTTAAAATCTACAGGAAGGTGATTTTTAGATGAAACAAACATTGCGCGATCAATCAAGACCCAGCAAACCAATGAAATTGCATTTAGAAAGGTTAAATAAGCTAATCAAATGCAAGCCGAGATTATCTATGCGCTTCTTAGCAAGCAAACTTAGATGTGTTCATAGTACTATGAATACATTTAATACCATTTGCACAAAATGAAAATGATCTCCAAGCTCGATTATTGGATACTAAGTGAACCGAACCCTAGTTGGCTAGGCCAGCAAATGAACACCTGTATGAACATCTTATTTGCGCACTAAACAAATTGTGTTAGCACTATGCATAAACTACGCCGGGAAGTGCCAGTGGCTAAAACTAGAACAACTGCTAAAGCTGAAAGTGAAACTATTTTTAAAAAAATGTTGCTTTCAATTTGGAAGGACATGAGCGGCATTGTGCACTGTTTCTGTTGAACACCAGTTATAACCTACTGTGATCAAAAAAACTACCTATTAAATTATATACTGCGCTCAAAACTCTTAAAACAACCACAAAGTTTACTTCATCATAACACCCACTCTTACATTGCAAATCAACGCAATAAATTTTTTTGGAGTTTATTTGCCTTACTCGCCTGACTTAACACTAACCAATTACTGTTTGTTTCAATCACAGTTTACACAATTAAAGATTTAACAATGAGGAGGCAATTTGACATCACCTCAATCATTTCTTTGATCCAAAGCCTAAAGAGTTCAACACCAGTCGCATTCATTTATTGCGAAAGTATTTGCAAGAGATTTCAGATAATATAGAGGTTATACTGTTAAAGATCCGTTGAAACAAAAATAAATACCTGTAGTGAAAAATCATCTCGTTGTCTCGAGATTTCAATGAAATTTCCCGGGAACCCCGGTAACTTTTTTTTAACATTTTAAAAGATATTAAAAATATTATCACTTGAAATTTGAGTACTATCAACTTCCTTTTTTTTTCTTGTAATGAATTTCGGTAAAAATTAGAAAAAAAGGAATATAAATGGCATTTAAATCACCAGTATTTTGCAGTTTTGATTTGTGTCCCAGATAGATCAAATATTATTATTGAATTTGATTTATAATTTGATTTGATTTATTTTTTTAAATTTTATATCATGTAAGTAACAACATAAAAAATTTAAAGAAACAAATCAAATCAATTTATAAATCAAATTCAATAATAATATTTGATCTATCTGAGACACAAATCAAAACTCCAAAATATTGGCCTAATAAAATACCAATCTAATAAAAAATCACAATTACAAGAAATTACAATGAACAAAGAGAAATCCCTGAGATTTTAAATATAAAAAAACCACGGACAAGGTACAACTTGTAACTTATCCGTGAACATTTCATAGATCCACTTTGTTCATTGTAACTTCTTGGAACTGTTGTTTCTTATTAGATTGGTACAAAAAAACTTAATTAGTTTAGTATAAACAAAGGAAATGAAAAACCAAGTACGTGAATTTTAAAATGTACGTTTAGTAATTACAACTTTAAAATACTTTATGTAAATCTACTATCAACTCAATTTCGGGATTAAATCTACTACCAACTCAATTCCGGGATTAATTCTACTATCAACTATTTCGGAATTAAATAAGTTTGGGATTAATAAGATTAAATAATAATAATTTCGAGATTAAAATTCGGGATTGAAAGTAAATTTTAAAGTAATATTTTAGTATATTTTAATATATTTTAATTTTTACAAGTAAGATAACAAATTTACCGCATCATGAAGGAAAAAATAAGTTTACAAAAAGTTTACAAAAAAGTTTACAAAAAATAAATTTACAAAAGATAAAAACACAGAATCTGCCACTTGTAACTTTTGTGAAACAAGAATAATGTGTAAAGGATTTTCAACAAGTTTTTTTGTCATTTAAAAAAATCTTTAGAATAAGTAAAAATTGAAGTAAATAAAAAAATAATTGCAATAAAGTAGAAATTGAAGAAATTAAAAAAAGGCCAAATGAAGACACAGATACTGAAGTTAGAAAAAGATGGAGTGTGCAACAAAAATGGAGCATCAACTTTGTTATGCACATGAGCTAGATAACAAAGATGGAACACCAACTTTGTTATGCTCATGAGTTATATTTAGTAGTTTGTGATGTTCTCTACAAAAAAAATAATGATTTTAAATTCACTGGGCAGTGAGTGTAGAATTCTGATGAAAATAATAGAGAAGATGACGAACTCTGATAAAAATAGTAATGAAGATGACGACCATAAATGTCGTTTATGGCTGAACCTAATTTATCAACTACATCTGAATTAACACTTCATCAACTGGATGTTGCTATTATGTTAGTCAAATTGAGGGTCCAGAAGATGTATTATAAGACATTAAAAACATTATGAAAGAAATGGGTATTTTTGATGCAACAAAAAAGCGTACAAATAATTTAGACAAATTATATAATGCTCTATTAACTATCCTACCAACATCAATTGAGTCAAAAAGAGCTTTTTCGGCAGCAGGTCTTTTAATTACAAAAATTCTGTCATCATTAAATGACGGCAATATTGACAATTTTTTTCTAAAAAATTATTTTAAAAATTATTATTTATAAAAATTAATGTTAATGAAGTTTATACTTATTTTGTTTTGAGAGTTTTAGTTTTTATGAATTATTTTGTATTTAATCTCTATATCTTTTTCTTATTAAAAATAATACAATCAAAAACGCATTTTTTGTGCATTTGTTTGAATTTACATGCTCTCCCCCACCAAATTGGATAATAAAAGTAAGAATAAAAGAGATTCTCAGGAAGAATAAAACTTGTGAATAGGGACAATAACATTGTGAGCAGGGAGGATAAAACATGTGAATAGAGACAATAACACTTGTAAAAAAAAAAAAAAACACTTGTGATTAGGGATGATAACATTTGTAAGTAGGGATAAAACTTGTGAATAGAGACAATAAAACTATTAAGAAAAAAAACACATTTGTAAGTAGGGAGAATAACTAAATTTAGAAAAATAAAAGCTAATGGAAAATTTAATTGATACAATTTTACTTAACAAAATCATAAATTGCCATGATTATAATTTTGAAGTAATTATTAAAAAGTTGAGCAACATTTCATTAAAATAAATGACAATATAAATACTGTATAAAAACTTACTAGAAGCTTTTGTTCCCTGTTATATTCTTTCATCATTTCCAAGACATTGGTAGCATATTTATCTACAGTTTCATCACCCTGTTCATTACAAAACAGCCCAAATACAAATATGAGTTATTTAGTCAATGTTTATATACACATACAATGTAAAAATTCTATTAGCTGGATCAAAACCTTGTAGAATGAAAAAAAATCAAAAACTCAAATAAAGTTATTCAATTAAAAACTTAAATTAGTCCATTTCAAATATCTTACCTTAATCCATGGATGACAAAGAATTTCTTTTGAAGTAATCCGGTGCGCTGGATCAACTTTCAGCATTCCCTCCAACAAATGTTTAGCTAAAAATTGTATTAGTAAATAAAAAAAAAACTTTTAATAATAAATAAAAAAAAAAAAAGATCATGTGATGACAGATAGATAAAATGACAGTATCCGGAATACATCTCTTTTAAAAGGAGTTTTATTACCCATTACACTAAGCTGCAAATTAGCTAAAGCAATAAGACATTAGATTAAATGTACTTTCCTTTTTTTCACTGTTTAAAAAACCAATGTATACCGAACAATTAAACTTGTTGAAATTTTAACAATAAGCAACTGTGTGTGTCTTATATTTTTTATTAAAAATAAAGTTGTACAAAATATACAAAGTTGATTTAGCATATATAAAGCTTGAACAATGTAAAAAATATAACATTAACATAACAGTAAGTAAAAAATTTTGCACTATGTTTAATTTTATATTAGTTTATATATAAAAGGTGTTCTGTTTTACTGTTATGTTACTCATTATGTTAGTTACATTAAATACTAGTATGACATCATAGAAATATTTGTAAAAAAGGCGGATTTTTTATAAATTGTTTATATTTTTAATATTACATATGTTAAAGATATTTTTCTAGAAGCAATAAGAGTGCACAAGCAACTTTTATATTAACATTATTATTAGTATAAGTTATTATTATATTTTTTGTATATATATATATATATATATATATATATATATATATATATATATATATATATATATATATATATATATATATATATATATATATATATGTGTGCGTGTGTGTGCATATATATATATATATATATATATATATATATATATTATATATATATATATATATATATATATATATATATATATACACACATATATATAAATTTATAATGAAATTTTAGATTTTTTTATTTTTAAATTTTCCTTTTTTTATTATTTTTTTGCTGTTTGCTGTTTTGATAGTGGAGTACACTCCACTGTAACTATAAGGTTTTTCTGTTTCTTGATTTGCATTACATGACTAATGATATATATATATATATATATATATATATATATATATATATATATATATATATTATATATATATATATATATAAAGCTCTATTAAATAATAAATCCTATTTATTTATTTTTGAGCGCTCTTATATGTATATAGTATTTGTATTTTATTTGCAAATACAAAATATCATATATATATATATATATATATATATATATATATATATATATATATATATATATATATATATATATATATATATATATATATATATATATTTATATATAAACACACACACACACATATATATATATGTATGTGTATATATATATATATATATATATATATATATATATATATATATATATATATATATATATGTGTTTAGATAAACATATACTTTCTATATGTTTTTAGATAAACATAGGCTTACTAGTTTTTTTTTATCTTTGCTTATCATTTTACTATTTAGTAAATATCATACAATATATAAGGAAAAAAACAAAAGAATGATAAAAGAATAGATTGCCGCCCCATGCTAAATCCTCAGTCAATGCACTCCTTTACAACAGCAGACTATAAGATAGTTGATGTATGTACTAAAACTCCCATCAGCAGGCTATTTCATGTGGCTATGAAAATAGCTATTTTGTTTGATTTTAAAATTTAATTTTAATATTTAATAATTTTGATTTTGAAAAATTTAAATTTTCAACTTTTAATTAACTTGTTATTAAAACTGCTCATCCATTAAAATGAATCCCAAACATTCAACCATATTTTTTAAAACAAGAAAGTATAATTATTTTAGGCTGCTAAACTATAAGATTACCTACTAGGGCCTATTCTAGGAAAAAATATGGGCGGCAGTACCCCCTTGTTTCGGCGGACTTTAGCAGAAAATCAGAGATTTTTTCGCAAAAAAAACAATATTTGCCGTAAAAACATTAAAAAAAAGCGTTAAAAAAAAAAAAGCCCCTAAATTTTAATTTTGGCGGCGCCCAATTGGGCGTCTAAATACAGTCAAGGCTATCGAAAATGTTCTAGAATAGCTCCTGCCTATATATATATATATATATATATATATATATATATATATATATATATATATATATATATATATATATATATATATATATATATATATATATATATATATATATATATATATATATATATATATATACAGTCACGGACAAAATTAAGTAACATTGTTGATAAAATTGATACTCTAACAATACAAACAAAATTATTTACGTCAAGATCTATATAACTGCAAAATAGCAAAACAAAATTCAATTATAACATCAAGACAGATTGTTGAAAATCTTAAATTAAATGTTTCCAGTCGAACTGTACAGAGAAGACTTAATTCAAGTGGTTTAATAAACCGTCTTCAAAAAAGTAAACCCCTCATTAGTGGTATAAACAAAAAAAAAACGCTTAGCATTTGCAAAACTGCATATTAACAAGGATGAGGCATTTTGGAACTCAGTGTTATGGTCTGATGAGAGTAAATTTCAAATATTTGGCTTTAAAAAACGACAAAGAGTTTGGCGCAGACCTTGTGATGCACTCTTAGATAGAAATCTTAGAAAAACTGTCAAGCATGGAGGTGGCTCAATTATGGTTTGGGGATGCTTTGCTTCAAATGGTGTGGGAAGACTGGCGAATGTTGAAGGTATAATGACAGGACAATTGTATGTTGATTTGCTTTTCAAACATTTATGTCAATCCGCTAAAAAATTGAATTTAGATCGCAAGTTCTTTTTTCAACAAGACAATGACCCCAAACACACCAGCAAAGTGGCACAACATTTCCTCAAAAAAAGTAAAGTTAACATCCTTAAATGGCCACCACAAAGCCCGAACCTTAACCCCATTGAAAATTTATGGGCAATTTTAAAATCTAAAATACCTCCTTCAAAACGAACAAATAAAAAAGAATTTTTTGAGGTTCTTAGTGAAACTTGGAATTCAATTGGTACTGACGTCATGTCAAAGCTTGTAAAAAGCATGCCAAGACGTTTAGAAGCAGTCGTGAAAGCAAAAGGTGGTGCAACAAAGTACTAAAATGAAAATCAGACATGATATTCTTGTATTTTTAATATATATTACTGACAAAACATTATATTTCATAATAAAAACTCATAATAAAAAAAGATGTTATGTCGCATTTATTTTGGACAAAAAAGTTGTAAGATAGCTAATTTCGTTTAATAGAGTTACTTTTGCAATGAGTTATAAAGAGTTAAAAATATATATTTTTTTCTTTGGAATCAAATTTTTAAAAAAACATAAAGTTATTGCAGTTGCGTAGATTCTGACTTAAATAATTTTGTTTTTATTGTTCGAGTTTCGATTTTATCAATAATGTTACTTAATTTTGTCCGTGACTGTATATATATATATCAGGCCTTGCGATAAAGCGTCGGGCGATGTGAATTTTACGTCGTCCACTTAAATAATAATTTTACGGGGGTTTGTTAGGTTAAAAAAAAAATGATTTAAAAATATTTATTAACTGTTAGACGTATTTAAAGTATTTAAGAGTAATTTCGAGGAAACATTTTAAAAATTGGTGAGCAAAAATAAAAAAAAAAGGATTAATATTAAAACGTCTTGATTCAATAAAAAAGTACAGTTATTAACTCAAAAAAATTACTGACCGCTTTTATGTTAAAAGTTACCGAAACTCAACGAAGCGTGCTCAAGAACAGCTGCTGAAAAATAAAACGTCAATAGTTTTTCGAATAATTTTTAATAATAATTTTTAAGAATAATTTTTTCGCTGAAATATTTCTTTTATACCTATAAGATTTTTATTCTAACTTTTTATTTTATATTACTTGAAATAAAGTTCCTTGATAACATTAAAAATCTATTCAAAACGTTCGTTTAAGTTTTTTATTAATACGAGTGATTGTGCTTAATAACCGCTTTATGAAAATAAATAAAAATAAATAAACAAATATTATATAAAATCGCTTGTAAAAATATTAGCTATTGCACAGTTTTAAATCGTACAATATTAAAATTTCCAGTTTATTACTCGCTGACTTTTTAAAAAGAAAAAATAATTATTTAAATTACATATTTAAGAAAAAAAAAATCAAATATTAGCATATTTTATAATCTTTTTTAAATTTAAGTTATAATGTTTTTTATTCGTTTAGTATAGACAAAACGTGACAAACATCGAGAAAATAAACAAATGTTTTTACATTTTAAAAAACGAAACATTCCAAAACATTTTTAAATAATAACATTTCTCCATAAACGATTTAAAGTAGTTTTGCGGTAATTAAGTAAATTGCTGCAGTTAATGTCGATAAATATGAAAAGCAAATAAAAAGAATTTAATGACGTCAAAAATCACGTTGTGCTTATGCGTCGCGCAGTTCTTATTCATCGCAAGGCCTGATATATATATATATATATATATATATATATATATATATATATATATATATATATATATATATATATATATATATATATATATATATATATATATATATATATATATATATATATATCGAACATCAGTTATTTGGAATTCACTTCCTTCATCTTGCTTTCCTGATTCATATAATTTGCAATCTTTTAAGTCGTCTGTCAATCTTTATCTTGCTCTCTTCATCTTTTATCTTCCAGTAACTTCCAACTCTAATTAGTGGTCACTTGCAGCCTTGTTGGAAGCGAAGTTGTTTAAAATATATATATATATATATATATATATATATATATATATATATATATATATATATATATATATACACATATATATATATATATATATACATATATATATATATACACATATATATATTTTTTAATATAATCCTAATATATATATATATATATATATTTTAGGATTTTCAATAAAACAATTTTTTCTAAAAATATCCGCTTCCACCTTCTAAATGTGTTCTTCTTAATGAAAAATACTGGAATTGAATTTTTTTTTTAGGATCTCAAATCCCTTAAACATCAGACAGGTCCCTAATATTATTAAAAAAGGTTCTTCAAAAGTATATTATGTTGGGTCTCAAAAGAATCAAAATTAAATAAAAACTTCAAAAATAATCATCATTTCATAAGAAACATAAAAAAAAAACTAATTAAATTTGTTTTTTGTAAAAATACTTATTTTCATTTTTAATTAAAAATCTAAATTTTATTAAAAATGCATATTCTTATTTTATTGTAATAATTTTTATTTTTGTTTGTAAAAATGCATATTTTTATTTTTAGGTGGTGAAATATATAATAATGATTATTTTTGAAATTTTTGCTTCTTTTGAGATGCTGCATGATACACTTTTGAATAACTATTTTTTTGTTGATAATATTAGGGACCCATTTGATGTTTAAGGGGTATAATATTGGTCTGGTCTAACTACCATCCCATTAGTCTTCTCCCTATCAAAAGTAAGGTTTTTAAACCTTTAATTAACAAACACTTAATCATTCATCTTGAATCTAATAACTTACTTTCATCAATATGGATTTTGATCTTCTTGTTCTACTGCTGATTTGTTAACGGTAAAAACCGATAGAATTATCGTGCATTAGATAGATGTGGAGATGCTAAGGCTATTGCTCTCAACATTTCTAAAGTCTTTGATAAAGTTTGGCATGCTGGTCTTCTCCATAAACTCTCTTCTTACAGTTCTCAATAAGCTCTCTTCTTATGGTGTATCAGGTAACATCTTTAAGGTTATTGAATCCTTCCTTACCCATTGTAGTATAAAAGTTGTCCTCTATGGACAGCATTCTTCTTCATTACCTGTAACCTCAGGGGTTCCTCATTGTTCAATCCTTGGTTCTATACTCTTTTTAATTTACATTAATGATCTTCCAGAAATTCTCACATCTAAGATATCATTGTGATACTACCATTTATTCTTGTCTAGATGATACTACCATTGAACAGATGATACTACCATTTATTCTTGTCTGGATAAGAAGCCAACACCCTCTGATTGCTTGGAGAAGGCATTTAAGGGGCATTTAATTTGCTACAGCATGGGGCTCTAAATAGCTGGTGAACTTTAACTCAGATAAAACCCAATTTTTTTCAGCTAATTGTTTTCGCAACAATCTAGATCTTCCTATATTTATAAACGGTAATGTACTCGATGAGTCATCTACCCTCATCTTCTAGGATTAACTCTTAATATAATCTTTCTTGGAAACCATATATAAAATCCATTGAAAAATTAGCATCTGCTAAGGTTGCATCCCTTTATCGTGCTCAACACTTTCTTACTACTGATTATTTTTTTTATGTCTATAAATCTCAAATCCATCCTTGTATGGAGTACTGTTGCCATATCTGAGGCAGATCTTCTAATAATACCCTTTCTCCTTTAGAAAAGGTGCAAAAACGCATTGTAAACATAGTTAGACCTGCTCTTTCAACCAACCTCCAACCATTATCATATCGTCATAATGTTGCTTTTCTTTCTCTTTTTTATAAATAATATAATGGGCACCGCTCTAAAGAGCTAGCGTCTCTTGTGCCATCTACTAAAATTTATTCTCGTATTACTTGTCATTCAATTAAATCTCATTTGTTTTGACTGTTATTCATATAACTTACAATCTTTTAAGTCATCTGTTAATTGTTATCTTGCTCTATAAATTTCATCTTTTCTCTTCCAGTAACTTTTAACTCTAATAATGGTTGCTTGCAGCTTTGTTGGAAGTGAAGATGTCATATATATATATATATATATATATATATATATATATATATATATATATATATATATATATATATATATATATATATATATATATATATATATATGACAAAATTGAAAATATTTCAAAACTTATTACGCTTAGGGTGGGTGGGTGGGTTGAACCCCCAAAAAACAACACTGATGACAGTGCACCAAACCACTGAGATACAAGCGTTCAGGAGAAAAAAACATTTTATAAATCTCTTATAAGCTCAGCATATGCCGAAAAGGTTTTTTTTTATTTCCCCACAAACAATAGCCTTTATATTTCTATTAATAATACTCTTTATTTTTCCATAGATTGTCTGAAAGTATATTCTTTTTTTCAAAATTTTTAAAAACAATTTTTAAAAACTTTTAAAAACACTTTTTGTACTAATTTTCTTTATCCTATTGTACCCCCAATTCCACATATATATTTTATCTTATTCTCACTACTATTGGTTGAAGATGATCTTTTAAATTAAATATTTTTCTATTTTTTTTTAATTCAATAGTATTAACAAGAAACATTTTTAAAATTAACAGAGTAAAATTAAAGTTTAAAATAGAAAAATTATTGTTTTAATAAACAAATCATTTTTTAATTAAAATGTTATTTTGCATAATATTTTTAATGTAAAAATGTAAACCATAGAATGTACAAGTTTTTTTTTTTTAAACTGGTGTTGTTAATATTGATTTATTTTCTTTTGCTATAGACATTCCCAGGAGATTTTTGCAAGGATTTGAAAATATTATGTAGAGTTTGTTTATTAAAATAAATACTTTAGTGAGATTTTATATTGATTTTAAATATCAGTTTTAACTATAAATAATATGTAAAAAAAGTAAAAAACATGCTTCAAAAGAGATTTTTTTTCTCTTCACCCCTTCTTATCTTTTCATATATTAAACATATGATTTATGTTTATAGCAATTTCATATATTAAACATATGATTTATGTTAATAGCAATTTCATATATTAAACATATGATTTATGTTTATAGCAATTTCATATATTAAACATATGATTTATGTTTATAGCAATTTCATATATTAAACATATGACTTATGTTTATAGCAATTTCATATATTAAACATATGATTTATGTTTATAGCAATTTCATATATTAAACATATGATTTATGTTTATAGCAATTTCATATATTAAACATATGATTTATGTTTATAGCAATTTCATATATTAAACATATGACTTATGTTTATAGCAATTTCATATATTAAACATATGATTTATGTTTATAGCAATTTCATATATTAAACATATGATTTATGTTTATAACAATTTCATATATTAAACATATGATTTATGTTTATAGCAATTTCATATATTAAACATATGATTTATGTTTATAGCAATTTCATATATTAAACATATGACTTATGTTTATAGCAATTTCATATATTAAACATATGATTTATGTTTATAGCAATTTCATATATTAAACATATGATTTATGTTTATAGCAATTTCATATATTAAACATATGATTTATGTTTATAGCAATTTCATATATTAAACATATGACTTATGTTTATAGCAATTTCATATATTAAACATATGATTTATGTTTATAGCAATTTCATATATTAAACATATGATTTATGTTTATAACAATTTCATATATTAAACATGATTTATGTTTATAGCAATTTCATATATTAAACATATGATTTATGTTTATAGCAATTTCATATATTAAACATATGACTTATGTTTATAGCAATTTCATATATTAAACATATGATTTATGTTTATAGCAATTTCATATATTAAACATATGATTTATGTTTATAGCAATTTCATATATTAAACATATGACTTATGTTTATAGCAATTTCATATATTAAACATATGATTTATGTTTATAGCAATTTCATATATTAAACATATGATTTATGTTTATAGCAATTTCATATATTAAACATATGATTTATGTTTATAGCAATTTCATATATTAAACATATGATTTATGTTTATAGCAATTTCATATATTAAACATATGATTTATGTTTATAGCAATTTCATATATTAAACATATGACTTATGTTTATAGCAATTTCATATATTAAACATATGATTTATGTTTATAGCAATTTCATATATTAAACATATGATTTATGTTTATAGCAATTTCATATATTAAACATATGATTTATGTTTATAGCAATTTCATATATTAAACATATGATTTATGTTTATAGCAATTTCATATATTAAACATATGATTTATGTTTATAGCAATTTCATATATTAAACATATGATTTATGTTTATAGCAATTTCATATATTAAACATATGATTTATGTTTATAGCAATTTCATATATTAAACATATGATTTATGTTTATAGCAATTTCATATATTAAACATATGATTTATGTTTATAGCAATTTCATATATTAAACATATGATTTATGTTTATAGCAATTTCATATATTAAACATATGATTTATGTTTATAGCAATTTCATATATTAAACATATGATTTATGTTTATAGCAATTTCATATATTAAACATATGATTTATGTTTATAGCAATTTCATATATTAAACATATGATTTATGTTTATAGCAATTTCATATATTAAACATATGATTTATGTTTATAGCAATTTCATATATTAAACATATGATTTATGTTTATAGCAATTTAAAAAATGAAAAAATAAAAAAAAATAAAAATAAAAATCTGCTTTTGAGACAAGATTTATATTAAAAATTACTTTTTACAAAGGTCATTCAATTATATATAGTATTGGCCCAATATATATAGTCCAATTATACATAAAATTAATATGACCTGAGGATGAAGGTTATTATATCATATACATTCAAGGTAATAAAATAAAAAAGTATTAGGAAATTATACCAGAAGGTGATACTGATTTCCACTTCTCTTTTTCAAATTTCAATTCACCTTTCTGGATGAGAATAAAAAGTTCCTCTTCATTGCTTGCCATAAAAGGTGGTTCACCACATAAACTAAAAAAATTTAGACAAGTCTGACCAAATAAAGATAAAAACCTATTAACCAAATATCTCACCAAAATAAAAAATAAAAACTTATTATCCGAATAAATTAACAGAGTTCCAACCAAAAAACAATAAAAAATAATTTTAATAACAATAAAAAATAATTTGTTATCCTTGGACTTTTTAGAACTTTCTCAAACAATTTTTTTATTTTTCCATTTTTTCTATTTTTTATTTGCTTTTATTTTAAAACTTTTGAAAAAAATTTAAACTTTATAACTTTCTAGAACTTTTTAAATTTCATGCAAAATGAAATGTGAGCTATATACTAGATACATGAAGTATATAAAAAATTATTTTTAGCATTTTGATTCCAATTAAAGACAGTTTTTAAAATTATCAAATATTTTCTAATATATGATAGCTTACTTAAAATTCATTATAAATCTTTACTTGGTGCTTTTTTTTTAAAAAGTACAATTTTAAAAATGTTTGAATTAATAAAGAACAAATTATGCATGAACATTTTTTCACTAACCAATAATTGACATTGTTTAGAAATAGTGTTTTTACCTATGTCAAAAAAATAAATCAATTTAAATAAAGAAAATAATTATTGGATTGAAATTAAATTCTAAAAAAACGCAAATGCTTTTTTTTAAGTTTGCATTTTAAGGAAAAGTTTTTAATTAAAAAAGCATTTTAGATTAAAACAGCGTTTTTTTTAAAACATTTTTTTTTGTTTTAATTAAACTTCTATTAAAATTTGTGAACTTCTAAAAATTAAAAAATTTGTGAACTTCTTTATAAATTAATATAGAAATTAACGTGTTTTTTTGCTTTGAAATTTTTGCATTTTTAAAGTGTTTAAAGGTTCTTAATTGAGTAAGTATATTTTAATTATTTTCTTATTTTAGTAATCTAATTATTGTTATAAAATTATATATTACTTATTGATTTCTTTTATAAGAAATAATGGAGAAGAGAAAACTTTCTGGTCGGTAGTTTAAACAAAAATGCCTATGAAAAGATGAAATCAAATCAAACATCTTTAAAAAAATTTCTCTTGAAAACTCATCATGATAAAATACAGACAAAAGTCCAATTATTCAAGATCTGGTTGATTCTGGAAATGAAAGCAAATCAACTGGTTTTTTTAATACAATTAAAACTATTCAAACAATTGAACAATTGACTGAAACAGCGACTACATCAGAATGCTTTGACAATATTAGCAATTGACAGGAAAATTTGAACAATGATTTTATACAAAGTGCTGCTATCAAATGTCCGAACAGTTTCTTAGAAGATTCTAATAACAAAGAAACTTTGATAACCTGAGTTTTTAAAATCATCATGTTTACCACATCATGGATAATGGTAAAAAAAATTCTAGAAGGTGGTTAATAAATTCAAAAAAAGCAAACAAAGTTTTTTGTTTTTTACTGTATATTTTTTACTTCAAATCCTATTATGTTGTTAATGATTGCCGCCATAATTCACATATTTTGAAAAGCCACCAAAAAGCTTTGATCATTTTGACTGCGACAACAAGTGAATGGATCAAAAAAATTGATTTCAAAAAGACACTATAATTGATAAAATTATGGATAAAACTTAAAAGAAATATTGGGACAACTTAATGAATGACACTCAGAGACATAAAATGAACACTCAGAGAAAAATGACACTCAGAGACAATGTGTAGCAAGATAATAATGGAAACTTTCTAAAATTTTAGAATTTTTGGCTGAATTTGATCCAGTCATTGAAAAAATTTTTTTGAGGACAAAAAAAAACAAACAATTAAATTCTTGCAAAAAGTATTCATGAAATCATTGATTTGATTGACAAATCCATTAAAATCAAAATTTCTGCTAATATCCCAAAGTCTGTTTATTTTTCAATTATTACTGATTGTACGCCGGACACCAGTCACCAGAAGCAAAATGTCAATACTGTTTCAATATGTACATGTAGAGAAAAAGTGCAAAATTCACATTAATGAAAATTTTTTTGGAATTTACTTAATTGAAAATTTAAGAAGACTTGAATTATCAAATGTAATTATTGATTCTCTGAAAAAAAAAAATTTGTCAGTGGAAAAAATAACAGTTAAGAGCTATAACAATGGTACAAATATAAAAAAAATATAAAAGGTGTAAGAAATAATGTACAGGCTTATATTCTTAAAAAAAAAAATGTTTAATCGTTTTTTATTCCATGCTGCAGTCATACATTAAATTTAGTTGTTTTTGATTCTGTCAGATGTTCACCTTAAACTGCTATGTTTTTCAATATCATTTATAAAATTTACAATTTTTTCCGCTTTAAAAAAAATATGTTTAATTTTGCAATCAAAGTGTCTGTCTTTAACTGTTAAACCGTTTTTTATTATCGCTTTAGTAAAAATTTGGTTCCCAAAAAATCCTTTCAAACATTTGTACATGATGGTTTGAACAAAATTTATGTGAATGTATTTATTGAATTGGAATTCTTTTCATATTACCAAAAACAGTAGCTAGTGCAAAAATTACTTAAGATCAACGATGGACCAGGATAGGTTAAACAATCTTGCAATGATTTCAAATGAAAAAAAAATTGCTGCCAAAATATTTTTTTCACACACTTTCAGAATGTCTAGTGCCAGGCCTGCATCAACTGACTGTTAGCTATAGACAAAGCTGAATGTGCATCCATTGAATAAGGGTTTTGGCATGAACAGACAGTCTTTAAATTTGGCAAGAAGACAAAAAAGTTTTTAACTAACTGTCCTAAAAATATTTAAAGCAATTTTATTAATAAAAAGTTATTTTATAGATTAAGGTTTTTGTTCATTAAATGAGCAAAAAGGGAGGGGGGAAGAATAATTGAAAGCATGGTAACTAAAAAATACAAAAGCGGAGGATATAAACATCTTTCACTTAGAAATGAGGATATAAACGCCTTACACTAAGAGCCGAGGATTAAAATGGCTCACACTTAGAGCCAAGGATACAAATGCCTTACACAAATGCCTTACAAAGAGTCATGGATATAAATGCCTTTAACTTAGAGCCGAGGTTATAAATGGATATAAACTTTATATATTTTATATATAACAAAAACTCATTGAACTAATTTTATTTGACCAAACTTAACCTTCACTTAACGAAGAATTCAAAGCTGTAGTGAAAAAGTTAGAAATATATATCACATAGATATGAATAATACATAACTCCAGAGTTATGCAGTAGTTATATCTTATCACATAGATACGACAACTACATAACTGGTTTAGTAAAGTATTAGACAGCAATTAAATTTACTACTAATTTAATGAAGTAGTAACTAAGCAATTAAATTTAATTAATTAAACAAATAAATTTGTCTTAAAGACTTTCTTTTTAACTTCATAACATTAGGAAATTAGATTCAATCTAATAAATTAGGAGTGACAAGAAAATGACTTCCAAAAAAAAAAAATTATTGCAACAAACATAACAAATAAAAATTTATAAAAATCTAAATCTTACAGCTTGTACATAATAACACCTGCACTCCAAATATCACACTGTTGGCTATAATCATACCTTGTAATCACTTCTGGAGCTTAAAAAAAATTATAGTTTTGAAAAGACTCATTTCACCAAATTTTATGCATTATTAAAAAGAAAAATAGTCACAGTTAAAGTCACAGTAAAAAGTTTTTAATGTGAGTAAGGTAACACAAGTCACAGTAAATGGTTGTTACAGTAAGGTAACAAATGTTACAGTAAACATTTGTCACAGTAAGTGAGGTAACACAAGTCATAGTAAACAGTTGTTACAGTAAGTAAAGTAACACAAGTCACAATAAATAGTTGTTACTGTAAGTAAGGTAACAAAAGTCATAGTAAACAGTTGTTACACTAAGGTAACAAATGTTACAGTAAACAGTTGTTACAGTAAGTAAGGTAACACAAGTCACAGTAAACAGTTATTACAGTAAGTAAACTAACAAAAGTTACAGGAAACAGTTGTTACAATAAGGTAATAAAAGTCAAAGTAAACAGTTGTTTTTATTGAGGTCTTTTAAAAAAAATTTATCACAAAATCCTATAGCATTGATAAAAGACATTTTGGAAATCTTTTACTGTTGAGAAAAATAAAAAGCATTAAGCCATGCAGGTCATATTTAACAAATAAAAAATTTATTAAAAAAAAAATTTTTATGCCATAAATTATCAGAAAGCCAAATCGATTTCTGCATATATCATCACAATCATAGGATTTTCAATCTGTTGATGGTATCTGTTGATGGTATCTGTTAAGTTGATGGTATCTGTTAAGTTGATGGTATCTGTTAAGTTGATGGTATCTGTTAAGTTGATGGTATCTGTTAGGTTGATGGTATCTGTTAAGTTGATGGTATCTGTTAAGTTGATGGTATCTGTTAAGTTGACAAATTGTAGCCAAGATTTAAAATTCATAAAGATTTTTTAAACCACTTTCTATATTATTTAAGCTTATGCGGTAGTGGTGTAGTGGTAGAGCGCTCGCTTCATAAGCGAGAGGTTCCGAGTTCGATCCCTACCACGTCCCTGGTAGTACCGCGCTCAACTTGTTTCTCCGCGCAGTGGCCTTGTTCATCAAGGTTCATGTTTCAGAGTTATAGAGTTGAGAGAGGGTTATAACCACAATTAAGTAGCCTCCTTGTCTGTAGTGGTTTTCTTGGCCTTGGGGAGGTGAATTGACAAAAAAAAAAAAAAAGTTACAATAAACAAACAGTTAGTTTGACCAGTATAATTAAGGAATAATTTAAATATATATTTTTTTGTATTAGCCTATACTACCTACTTTTTTAAGGTATTCTGAAAAGATCTAGAAGTCACAGAGCACCACAAAATTAACAAGATTTTAATTTTGGTCAGAATAGACCTAAAGTGTTAGAGTACCCACCTGTTTCCTATGTGCATATACATGATTCCTATGTGCATACACATGTTTCCTATGAGCATACACATGTTTCCTATATGCATACACATGTTTCCAATGTGTATACACGTATTTATAAAATATTTAATAACAGTTGTATAGCTACCACTTTTTAATTGATTAAACCACAACTTATTTGGAAACACTATTTATATTTAGCTTAACAGGATTTTTAATAAAACGATGGAATAAATAAAATAAATAAAACACCATAATTATATCACCATTAATAAAACTCTAATGTAAAATTAAAGCGCTGATTATTTAAGGTGCAATGAAGCAGAAAATTTAAAATCAAGTTAACTCATGGATGTAGAAATAAATCTTATTAGGCATATCCTCAAAATGTATTTAATAATATTTAAAATATGTGTTCTCTGAATACATGAAAATCTCATAAAACTGTAGATTCAAAAATACTATATATAAGGAGATGTGTTCTCTGAATACATGAAAATCTCATAAAACTGTAGATTCAAAAATATATAACGAGATCAACAACAATGCTCAAACATACTTTAATTGGTCCAGAATTACCAATAACTGATGTCAATAAAAAGTAATTAACATTTTGTTAAACATTAATTAAGCAAATTAATATGAATTAAAAATTTTTTTAAAATAATTAAAAAATTTTTTTAAATAAAAATAAACAAAACTAAAAAATGTTATTTTAAATAAAACTTATAATATTTTAAAAATAAAATATCTTGAACAAATTAATATCTTAAATAAAAACACAAACTTAAAAAATCCAATCAATTCCTCCAAAAATTTGCAATTTATAAAAGAAATTTCTACAAAATATGATTTTTACCCATATAAATTGGAGTTCCAACAACTTGATTCATCATGTAGTCACTTCCTGATCCCCCTCGAGTGTATGACAGACCAAAATCTGTTAGCTTCCAACATTAAAATAAATATCACATACATTTATTTATTCCCTAGACCATAAACTCAAATACTAAATGATAACATTTCTAATATTTTTGACATTATTTAACATCGGCTGATTTTTTTAAAAAAACACACGCAAATATTTCATCAACCTTGATGTTGTAAGATTCAAACTGAGGAGCAAGAAGAATGTTTTCTAGTTTGAGGTCTCTGTGTATGATATCTAAATGTGATTTTAAATTATTTAATAATAAAATTATTAAAATTAGCCAACCAGTTTAAAACTTATAATACTGAAAACAAAGTTAAATTATGTATACAAACCATTGCTATGAATATAATCTATTGCATCAGCTAGCTGAGTAAATATGCACAATACATCCTAAAAAAAGAACTTTCAATTTAAATATATATATATATATATATATATATATATATATATATATATATATATATATATATATATATATATATATATATATATATATATATATATATTAGCAGAAAATGACTTATCAACTTATATATTGCTCTGCTCTTTTATATATATTATTAATAATATATATATTACTGACAAAACATTATATTTCATAATAAAAACTCAAATGTTTCTTACTTTTGTCGCATTTATTTTGGACAAACAAATTGTAAAATAGTTGATTTCATTTAATATAGTGACTTTTGCAATGAGTTGTAAAGAGTTAAAAATATATTTATTTTTCTTTGGAATCAAAATTTTAAAAACATAAAATTATTGCAGTTGCGTAGATCATGACATAAATAATTTTGTTTTTATTGTTCGAGTTTCGATTTTATCAACAATGTTACTTAATTTTGTCTGTGACTGTATATATATATATTTTAGGTAATTCACCTCCCCAAGGTCGAGAAGAACACTACAGATGAGGAGGCTACTTGTGGTTATAACCCTCTTTCAACTCTTTAACTCCGAAACACAAACCTTGAAGAACAAGGTTGCTGTGCGAAGAAACAAGTTGAGCACGGTACTACCAAAGACGTGGTGGGAATGAAACTTGGAACCTCTCGCTAATGAAGCGAGCGGACACCACTACACCACTATTGCATAATTTATATTATGCGGTAGTGGTGTATACCACATTATATATACATTAAAAAAGCAGTATGTAATATGCAAATGTGAAAAAATCCACTTAGAAAACATTATGTACAAACATCTGTAAGTGTAAACCTATAACTATTGACAGTAGGTTAGTTGAGTTTGTTAATTGTATATTTAAGTATTGTGAAATATAAGGAAATATATATATTGTATTAAAACTTTACTAACAATTTGCTTAAACTGTTTTGTTTTGAATTTTTGTTATTTATGTTACTGTATTTAAAAAAAATTGGCAAGGTTAAAAAAAAAATTCTTATTATACAATAGGACTTAAAAATTTATAATTATAGTTATCCTTTTGCCATGACTCTCAGCTCCCCCCCCTCCCTTTCCTCAATTAGTAGTTCTGGTTGCTAAAGATTAAGCCATAATCTGCCAAAACAGGTGTTAATAACTGCTTAGTTCAAAGCTAAAGAAATAAAAACTCGGCAAATTTAAAATAACTTCAAAAGTGTAAATTATTAAAATACTCTGTGATAAAATTCTTTTTTTTCCCATTATTGTTTGTTATATTTCAACATATTTAATATTGGAACTTAAAATTAGAAAGAAAAAGATAAAAATAGGATATATATTTACTACAGCATATATAGATAAATTGTTACTTGCTTTCCTTATCTTTATAGTGCAATACTGCTCAATGAAAAGAAGAAAAAAATGAAGAATAATGCTGCCTCATGCTAAACTCTCAGTCAATGTAACAGCTCTCCTTTGCGGCAGGAGGCTATAAAATTTATGACCAATGTATTTACTGAAACCCAAAGCAGCAGGTTATTTAAGTGTGACACCAGAGATGTTATCTAAACATGCTTTCATAGTTCAGTTTTTTTTTTTAATGATAAATTATCTACCAAACCCTCAGTCAATGTAGTGGTACTTCCTTGTAGCAGTAGACTATAAGATAGTCAATGTAGAAGTACTCCCTTAAAGCAGCAAGCTATAAGATAGTCAATGTAGCAGCACTCCATTGTAGCAGCAGGCTATAAGATAGTCAATGTAGCAACAATCAGCACATATTTTACAGTAAAAAAGCAATGCCAACACAATAGATAAAAATGCAAGAGCATATTTTACCTATTTCTCAGTCGATATAGCATCATTACTCGCATGTTTTAAAAATATTATAAAACAATAAAAAGGCAAAAACAAAAAACCCATTAAATAAAATAAAATTTCTTATCATTATTATTGTGGTTTTTTAAAAAACAATAAAACTTGACATACTTTCGCATTAATTTGTTTAATCTTTTGAACAACATTAAAATGTAGCTAAATTGTTGACGTCACTTAAATGTTTAAAGAGACTTTTTTTTTTTTTACCATAAAAGTATGTAATATAAAAATAAAAATATGATATATATATAGGTATAATAGTAAAATACATTCTTGAAAATATCTATAAATTAAAATTGTAGTAAATACTAGTAACTTATCCTTAACCTGCAGCAGTGTAACATTAGGTTAATGTCTATTTCTTATGTCTTATTTATGTAATCAGCTATGATTATTCATCTTTTATAATCATTCATACATGTTATTATCAGGGTTGGCAAAAACCTGGGTTTTTTTTACAAAAACCTGGGTTTTTTTAAAAAAACCCGGCCCAGTGTTTTTTTTTTGGGTTTTATTGGGTTTTATTGGGTAAATTGGGGTTTTTTTGGGTTTAATTTTTATTTTGTCTGTAAAATATGTAAAAAAATTTTTTGTGTTTTTGTTTAATGATATTGAAAATTAGTTTTTTTTTACTTTAACTTTATTTAAAATATATTTTATATATTGTTGTTTAATTATTTATAACAAGAATTTTTCAAATTATTTTGAAAAAGATTTTTAAATATAATTTAAAACTGTAATAGAAAAAAAAAATTTCACGCTTAATCTATATGTATTGATTTATTTTAAAATTAAAAGTATTATTCTATATAATTAAAAATGTCAATGAGAAAATGTGAAAAAGAAGGCTTGAGAATGGGAGGTAGTAACTGAAGTTTCAATTAAACTTTGAACTTGAAAATCGAATGAACAAACTTGTTTCTCTGCGCAGCAGCCTTGTTTATAAAGATTCGCGTTTAGGAGTTAAGGAGTTTTTTTTTTAAATTAATTCACATCCTCAAAGCTTAAGGCCACTACAGGCAAGGAGGCTACTTATTTGTGGTTATAACCCTCTCTCAACTCTATAACTCCGAAACACGAACTTTGACGAACAAGGCTGCTGCGCAGAAAAAGGAGTTGAGCGCGGTACTGCCAGGAACATGGTGGGGATCGAACTCGGAACCTCTCACTTATGAAGTGAGCGCTCTACCACAACACCACTGCAAAAGAGTTGAGAGAGGGTTGTAACCACAACAAGGTAGCCTCCTTGACTGTTGTGTTGGCTTCTCTGTTCACTACTACTCATTTAAATTCAACTTGGGAGGCGAATAACATAAAGTAATAAAAATCTCAATCGATAAAAATATTTGAATAAAAATTGTAATAATGTATTTCCAAATAATGATTCAAATAATAGTAAACCTGCTCTGATAGCTGTTATTGTTGGTTATAATAGTTAATAATAATAATTAATAATAATTAAGTTAATAATAATAGTTAATAATTATTTTAGTAAATAATATTATAGTCATAATGTTAAAGTTGGTTATAATAGTTCATAAACTTATTAAATATCTTTAAAAAAAACCCAATAAAACCCAGATTTTCCAGGGTTTTATTGGGTTTTTTTAGGTGGGTTTTTTTGGGTTTTATTGGGCGGGTTCTTTTGGGCGGGTTTTTTAATGCCAACCCTGTTTATTATCCACCAGTGTAGCAACAATTTATAGTCCTCATTCATTTAAAAAAATTATACATGAAAATAAAAAACTTTGTCTAAAACTCTATTTTAACTAAATGACATAGAAACCAACTAAAAATTAGAAAATGAAAGTCATGCGTTATTTCAATTGTAATTAAAAGTATTCTTATGGGACTTTTTTTTCGAATCAGCTCAATCAAATTTAAAAGAATGAATTTGTAGATATGAAGGGAAGAAAAAATAATTCCATTACATTATTAACACACTACTAATTTTTAGTTAAAATACCTTTAGCGTTATCGGTTTTATCTTTTAGTCTGTAAAAAACATCGTTGACTGATTCATTTGAACTCTGGTTATTTTGAAAGCAAAGTTGTAATGTTCGAGCGACATCAAAGTGACCAATCGAATGATTTTTCCATATGTCTTTTTGTTCAGGTAATCCAGCTGCACACACTGTTCTGCACCATTTTTGATGGATTCGTGAGAGTCGATCAGCCAAACTTATTTCCGATGGAATCCATTGTACTACAATCTGGATACCTTTTGCCACTTCCTTAATAGTATTTAACTGTCTTTGTACTAACAATTGAGAAATTCCACAAGTTTTTACGCGATATTCTTCCTTCAAAACTGCATTTAACCATCCTTCGATGCTCTTGCTATCACTGTATACTGTTAACTCTTTTATGTCCCACTTACTAGCTAAGTTTAACCCTCGAAGTATCGAATCCAGTTCACTTATATTGATATGGTGTGTGTCACTTGCTGGCCGTAGCCATGTTGGGTCTTCAACAACTACTCCACCAATGAGCAGAACAACCCCAAGTCCTATGGATAATGCATCACAATAAAGCTCAGCTTTTCCATTCACTGGTACCAACCATTTTCCACCAACCGAATCCTCCTTTTCTACACAGTGAAGCAAATCTTTCAGTTTTTCTTTACAATCTTCTAAAATAAAATCACACCAAGGTATATTTCCAGCTAAACGTTTGATATATGAAGCTTGTAAACACAAACTTCCTGCCACTGGGTAATGTCCAATGAGTTTACCTAACTTGTTGAAAAGCTGCGATCGCGTGACTGCATTTAAAGGTTCTAATTGTACCATATTGTCTTGTTTCCATATCAGTTCCCCATTTTTATTTCTTTAAACTCTCAATCCTAAGACACGTGATTGTTCAAGATTTTGTGGAGGAAATCCACACTGGACATACCTTTTTGTCCTTATTTTCTTGCACTACGCACATAAGCAGTATCAATACTTTAGGTGGTCCCAATATTAGTTCGTTATATGGTACAAGAATGCCAGAGTTAATCCATTTATTTATTTATTTGCGGTAACTACGTTCGTACTCATGGTTCATCTTGTATTCACAAATGGTATTATCAATTACAGGCTCTTTATTCCAGTTCCATGATGCCGTCCACTTTTTCCCGTCAAAATTTACTGCGAAATCCTGATGATTTACTTTGTTTCTTTTGTTTTCTTCATTTGTATTTTTGACATCACATTTTATTTCGTTTATTTCATTTTTGTTTTTATCGTTGTAGTAACAGCACATTTTATTTTGTTTCTTTTGTTTTCTTAATTTGTATTTTTGACATCACATTTTATTTCGTTTATTTTGTTTTCGTTTTTTATCGTTGTAGTAATGGCACCACATTTTGCTGTGTCACATGCTAAGATTCAGACAGTACAGTTTTTATTACCATAAATGATGACTCCTCCATATTTTTTTAATCGCATTCATTCCAAAAATCAAATCAAACCCGAATAGTTTTTCTTTTACAACCAGAGAATTAACAATCCGATGTATTCCATCAATTTCCAATTTAATTACCATTTCACCCAGCACTTGCACAGCTCCTCCCAAAGTTGTGATAAGTTTTTAACTTTTTAAAACAAGACCATGCGTGGATGGAGCATCCAGAATCAATTAATGCTGTTCGGAGAATTCCATTTATTTTCACTTTTAATGATGGCAACGTCATTTCTGGAAGAATATTGGATGCCATTATTTCCAAATTCTCCCTTTTCCTTTTAAACTTTGCAATCGTTTGAAGCAGTCTTTAGCTTGATGATCATGTGAACAAGTCTTGCATTTTGCTTTGCAGTCCCATGCAAAATGTCCAAGTTTCCCACAATTGAAACATGTAACTTTGTTTGTGTCGGACACACTAGATGTCAGTGGAAGTAGCGATGTTGTCGCAATTCAGTAATAACCATTTGATTGTAATACCATTGTTAAAACCCGTGATGAATTGGTTGCGCATTCGATCATCTCTATCTGTAAATTTGCATCTTTCAGCAGCTCTTGCAATTCGTCGTGAAAATTCCGTCACACTTTCATTACTTGCTTTTTTTATAGTTGCAAATTCAAAGCGTAGTATTAACAATGACTTCCGTTTAAAAAGCTTCATGATGTTTTCCTCGATGTCTGCGTAGATAACTGAGTCATCTTCTGGGTATGTAGGCAAGCATAAATCTTCCAGTGCAGAATAAATCTGTGGTGGCAAACATGTTAATATTATTGTTTTCCTTTTGGATTCGGGTATGCCCATTGCAGTTATGTATGTTGGTAGTTGGCGGACAAACCGCTGATGGTTGCCATCGAATACCAGTGGCATAATTGCCGAAATAGCTTGTTGGATTGTCGCGCCCATGAATTGAATAAACAAAACGTATTATTTTATAGCTTTCTTTTAACCTCACTAACTCTATACAAAAATCGTCTCTATATATATAAAATAAAAAAAAGCCCCATGAGAATACTTTTAATTACAATTGAAATAATGCGTGACTTTCAACACAAATCTACGTGATTTTTAACATGTATAATTCACATAAAATAAGAACATAAAATAAGAACATAAAATGAGAACATCAATAGCTACTAAGCTTGGCACAGACAACCTGCAAATCTGTGGGCTTTCATTGCTCAGTCTAGTTTAAACACCACAAATTACCTACACCAAATATAACAAAAAAATTAATCTGTTGGATAGAATTTTTGGCTAGTGAGCATTAACTATTTTATTATATGCCAACATAGACATTTTTCATGGTATACACAATAGCCTTAAACATCTTGTGGCAAAACCTTTTTTAAAATGTTTGATCTCATCCTTTGCATTTTCTACATACAATACTACTTTTATATGTGCTTGGTTATTGTTTCATTTTTTTGTGTGCACTTACGCAACAGAACTACAGTTACATACATAATTGCTGTTTCCATGGAAAAATATGTTTGTTTTTTGAATATGTCTGAGCTAGCTTTTAGAACCAGAACATAATATAAATCTTATGCATGAATGTTAAATCCATCATAGGTAACTTGAAGTATGGCTGTGTTAGTTAGATATGGTTGAGGAATAAATTTTTTACGCTGGTTTCTAGTAATACTAGAAACCAGCATAAAAATATTATACTGGAACATTCAATACTTACTCGACAACCATTGGTATGTGTGTGTATGTATATGTATATATGTATGGATGCATATGCGTGTGTATATATCCACGCCCTATGCAGTTTTTGATGTTTGATGTTGCATTGGTTTTGTTTACTGTTTTCCCCATTGTTGCTATATTTTATTCAAAATCTGTTTTTTTGATTGGTTTGCAACATTTAATTTAGGTATCTATGATGTCATTAAAGTTTGTATGGTTTTGTTGTTTTTATAATTTTCTATATATTTCTATATATTTCTATACTTATTGGCTTGGGTTTATTTATCCAATACTTTAGCAACTTGTTGTGTTTATAATAAAGTTTAATCTAACATCATTTATCACATTGGTAGTGTAATTGAGTATTTTGCGGTTTTCTATTAGAATATAACAATTTTCATTATTTAACATTATTGTTTATATTTTATTCTATTGTTTTACGTTATTTTTGTTAAAATTTTTATTTATACTTCATATTTTATACTTATCTTATTTTATTTGTTGTATTTAATTTTAATTTGTATTTAATAAAGATTTATGGTTACTTACGTGTCCTGTTTTGTTTTAGGTATATTTTAACAAAAATTTTTAAATTTAATTGAGCTGCTTCAATAGCTACTAAGCTTAATTGAGCTGCTTCAATAGCTACTAAGTACAGACAAACAAAACTTAGTACAGACAAACAAAGCTTAATACAGACAGTCTTGACAGTCTTGAGTCATCAATTTCATCATCAATTTATTGAGTCTTGAGTCATTGTTGTTCTTAATCTGGTTTAATTTCTTTTCAGAGTGCTGAAAAAGATTTTTTTTTAGCTTTTAAAATAATCTTGCATTTCTTCACATATTTTCACTCATTTTTTTTTTAATCTTTAATTTTTGTTTTAGGTGCCCCAAAAAAGACTTAATGTTTGTGTCACAGAGCACAGTGGAAAAAAAATTAAATAGGAATTTCACACCTTCTTCCTTACCAATGGTGCGAAATATGCCCCAAGCTTGTTTTAAACCTGGGATCTCTTGCTTCTAAAGTAAGCGGTCTAACCACTGTGTCATGGCCACTTACTTAATGTCTTCACGGATCACCATTCACTACTGACCTCTCATGGAAACCATGGAAAATAAATATATTATTGTAAAGTAAGCATCTGCTAGGATTATTTATCTTTATAGCGCTCAATATTTTCTTACTCGTGATTCTATTCTCTAGGTCTATAAATTTCTTATTTGCCCTTGTATGGAATATTGTTGTCATATTTGAGCTAGCTTTTCTAATACTAGATGTTCTCTAGTTGTCTAGCTTGAGACTAAATAAATCCATTTGATTACTGCTCACGCTAGCTATAATCAATTGTTCCATCAACCAAAATTCAACTTTTGAGCATGAAGGAATAGTTACTAACTGTAACTATTCCTTCATGCTCAAAATACTTTTATTCATCTAACTAAACATTGTTGCTTTGGAATTCTTCCCTGCTATCATCTTTTCCTGATTCATACAATTTACATCTTTTCAGATCTTTTATCAACAGTTTTCTTGTTATTTACCTCTCTTTCAGTTATTTACCTCTCTTTCTTGTTATTTACCTCTCTTTCAGTTTGTTACCTCTCTTTCTTGTTATTTACCTCTCTTTCAGTTAACTCTTAATTTAATAGTGGTTGCTTGCAGCTTTGCTTGAAGTAAATTCATTCAAAAATTTAAATAAAAAATTGGTTGCCCTGTAGAGCAACATTTTTTTCATAATTTGAAAGGAATAGACATCCCTTACTTCCTTAACACTACACTGTTTTTGACCAAGTTGGCCTGTTACAAGTAAACCTGTTAGCCTGATTTTGAGTAAATCAGCCTGTTACATCTAAACACTGGTGTAAACACATTTTAAAAAAAGCATAAATTCAAAAAAAATATATATATATACATGATAAAAATGAAATTAAACAGTAAACGTATTTATTTCAAATCATAGATATCAAGTATAAAAAGAAAAAAAAAGAAAAATAAAAAACCTTCTCTTCAAAATATGTAACTTTTTTTAGTAAACTTTCTAAAGCACCTTGCAAACACAGCTCCATTACCAAAAACATTTTCTAACATAAAAAAAATAACAATTTTAAAGGCTACACTTTTTAAGTTTTCAAAATAAAACACAAAATATATATAAAAGCAAATAGAAAAACAACAAAATTAATAAAAATAAATTAAATATTTTTAGAATTAAAGTATTTTAGTCAGTAAATTATTCTACATAATTTACTGACCAAAAAAAAAAGGTGGAAAATCTGTTGTTATTATATGGAGTACTAAGTAATGTTTTTTTATCTGAACAAATATAAAAAAAAAAAAAAAAAAAAAAAAAAAAAAAAAAATTATGCATATTTATTTATTTTAATTTAAAAATAATCAAACTTATTTATAGTGGTAAATACCACACTGTAAAGAATGTCTTCATATTAATAACAAATCTTCAAAAAAATAGCTAAAAACCAATGCCATTTTCACAAAAACCTTTTGGAAACCAAAAAACATGGAAACATGTATTTTTGCTTATTGATTTAGAAGAAAAAAGTCCATACTTTTAATCTCTACTCCTTATCATTTTAAATTAGTTGAGTAAAGGCTAGAGATGGTGTCTCGATAAAAATACTCATCTTGGGCAGATGTTAACTGCATCCAGTTACTGTCTTGTAGAAGGCCTCCTAGGCAAAGACTTTAGGGGTAAGCAGAAAAATTCTGCTAACCAGCCTCGAACCCCTTCTTCATCTATTAGGCTGGTGCAGATGTAACCTGTGTTACATTGTTTCCTGCCTAGGATAATGAATGCTGGATCTCCTTGACTCTACGCATAGAATTTTGCTTATGCCTCCTTGATAATGGCTATGCAACTCTTCCTGTTATCTCCATATGAGGGTACAGCTCTAAAACTCAGTTTAATGGTTCTGAGACCGGCTGGTAGTAAGGTTTCCCGAACTCTGTGGTAGCTCTCAGAGAGTTGATGGGTACTATCCTTTGATTCGTAAAGACTTTAATAGTCACATGCTAGGTTTAGGGGTATACATACGCATTAATTCCCCTATTTGTCGTGAAATCAGGTTTGAATCTTTTGACCATTCTTTTATGTGCTTTCACTTGCACCTCTTCACTCTTTCTCTTTGTTCTTTATCGTTCTCCTTCTTCCCATGATTGCACTCTTTTAGATGTTATCTCTGATCAAATTGACCATGCCCTCTCTCTTTACCCCTCTGCCAATATTGTTGTTGTTGGTGATTTTAATGCCCATCACGCTGAATGGCTTGGCTCTAACACCACTGATCCTGCTGGCACTAAAGCCTTTAACTTCTACGTTTCTAAATTTCTTACTCAGATAGTTAACTTTGTGACTCGTTTTCCTGACAACCCTAATCATTTACCTTCACTCCTTGACTTATGTCTTGTCTCTGACCCTAGCTTATGTTCAGTTTCTCACTTTTCTTCCTTAGGTGGTTCTGACCATGCAATGATCTCTATAAATCTTTCTTCTCGTACTTCTTTTTTGGGCTCACCTTATCATCGCACCACCTACTACTACCCTAAAGCTGACTGAGATTCTTTTCGTGATTTTCTTTGTGATGGTCCTTGGGCTGATGTTTTTTCTCTCTCAGCTGATAAATGCGCCTCCTACGTAACCTCCTGGATTCAGGCTGGAATGGAAGCTTTTATTCCTTCTCGTCGGTTTCAAGTCAAGCCTCATTCTACTCCATGGTTTTCTCCTTCTTGTGCGGCTGCTATATCTAATTGTAATCATTTTTTTCATCTTTTTCAAAAGAACAACTCTCTTGAGAACAAACGGCTATTTATTATTGCAAAAAATCGATGTAAAAAGGTGCTTTCTGATGCTAAACTCCATTATTTTCAGTTCACTAAATCTCGCATCATATCACAGAAGTTAGGCTCTAAAGACTTTTGGAAAATCTTCAACAACATTATTAACAAGGGTAGATCTAACATTCCATCTCTCATTCATGGGACTGATCTTATTACCTCTCCCAAGGATAAGGCAGAACTATTTGCAAAGAACTTTTCTTCTAATTCCACTCTTGAATCTTATGGACATTTTCTTCCTTCCATTCCAGTCAAACAGGTTGACCCATTGTTAGACATTCAAATCACTCCGGCTTCTGTTGCTAAAGTCATATCTCAATTAAACTCTTCTACAGCTTGTGGTCCAGACAAGATTCCTTTCACAGTCAGAATTGTTCTCCAGAACTTTCTTCAGTTCTCTCTAAACTATTTAACAAGTGTTTGACTGAGTCTTGTTTTCCTGCTTGTCGGAAAATGGCATCTGTGGTTCCAATATTCAAAAACTCTGGAGAAAATTCTGATCCCTCCAATTATCGTCCGATCAGTCTTCTTTCTGTTAATAGCAAGGCTATTAACAGAAAGAAGACAGAAACACCATAAGCTTGCTTCATATGGTGTTCCTGGGAAAGTTTTTGAGATTATCAAATCATTTCTTTCTAACCGGTTTATTAAAGTCACCCTTAAAGGCCAACACTCTTCTTTATTTCCAGTAACTTCTGGGGTTCCCCAAGGTTCCATCCTTGGCCCTGTTTTGTTTCTTATCTACATAAACAATCTTCCTGACAACCTTTCATCTAAAGTAGCTCTTTTTGCTGATGACTTAACTTTATACTCCTATCTTGACAAAAAATCTTCTCTTTTCGATCGCCTAGAACAAGCAGCTGATCTTGAATCCGATCTCACTTCAGTAATAGATTGGGGTTCACAGTGGCTTGTGAATTTCAACTCTAACAAAACCCAGTTGTTTACTGCAAACAACTACCGTAATATGGTCAACATTCCTATATTAATGAATGGCAATCCTCTTACTGACTTTACGTCTTCTTGGATTATCACTTACTACTGACCATATATACAATTGATTGCTAAATTAGCTTCTGCTAAGGTTGCTTCTCTTTATTGTGCTCGCCAATTCCTTACTTCTGATTACATTCTCTACCTCTACAAATCTCTTATTTGTCCTTGTATGGAATACTGTTGTCATATTTGGGCTGGTTCTTCTAACGATTCACTTTCTCTTCTTGATAAGGTCCAAAAACGCATTGTAAATGTTGTTGGACCTGGACTATCTGCTAAGCTTGAGCCTCTTTCCCATCGTCGTAAAGTTGCATCTCTTTCTCTTTTCTACAAATACTATCATGGTCACTGCTCAAAGGAATTATCATCTCTAGTTCCATCAACTAAAATTCATTCTCGTTTTACTCGTCATTCAGCTAAGTCTCATTCGTTTACTGTATCTGTCCCTGCATGTTCTAAAAACTTTTATTCATCTAGTTTTTTTCCAAGCACTTCAATCCTTTGGAACTCTCTCCCATCTTCATGTTTTCCTGACTCATGATTCTTCAATTTTTCAAGTCTTCTGTCAACCGTTTCCTTGCTCTATAACTCTGTTCTTTTTTTTTTCCTAGTAACTCCCAACTTAATAGTGGTTGCTTGCAGCCTTGTTGGAAGTGAATGCAAATAAAAAAAAAAAAAAAAAAAAATTGTAAGGTTGAGTGATAAGTAAATAAATTTTTAACTTAAAAAAATGTTATGATAAATATAAAAAAATTACATTTTTAATGAAAAAATAGAACAAACAACATGCACCATTAGTTTTAACTATAGTTTAAATAACTGTCTACAAAGCAAGCACTTTAAGAACAAAATTCACCAGTATGTGAGACCACCACCAATATGTGCTCTTTATCATTGCAGTTTAGTGAGAATAATAAACTAGAAAAATAGCACTACAAAAAAAAGTAGACTATTTTTTGTAGTGCTATTTCAAATGAATCAACATTTTTATTACACATATCTTTTATACCATTTTTTGGTAATAAATATGTGTTAATCAAATATTTAAAGTTTTTAATATATGTGATTACTTTTTAAAATTTAAATTAAAAATTAAAGTCAACTATAACACAATAATAGCATTGCAATGTTTTATATTGACATTAATATACTTACTTATTCATTAAAATCAGAGTTGTTAACAAGGCCAAAAGTAGCAATGCCAAGGCCACACGTTACAAGACCAAGGCCAAAAGTTACAAGGCCAAGAGTTTTAAGGTCAAGACTAAGATTAGGGGTTTCAAGACCAAGGCCTATGCAAACATTTTCAAGACCAACGACTTCAATTTTTGCCCTACCTTACGGCCAATTATTAACAAAACTGTAAGTAGCAAGTGCTGTACACTAAAACCCCATTTTGTAAAAATAGATTAAGGTTATGCTCAGAATTCAACAAAATCAATGAGAAAATATGTATTTTTTTTGTAAGTCAAGGTCAAAACAATCAAGGCTGAGGCCAAAAATTTCAAGACCAAGGCCAAGGCCAAGGACTAACAACTCTAAATAAAATTATAGAGCCTAGCAAAGTCTTTAAAAAAGCAGACATTGTTAAGGAATAAAAGTTAAAAGACTTTTTTTTTTTGAAGAGGGACATGTAACTCATGTTGAAAAACTAATACTTGCTGCTGAAGTTGGTCTTGATTGCAATTGAGTAATATTTAGAACTGTTACATGCTGTTACTAAATAATGCACTACATAATACTATTGAAATAAAATATACTTTCTGTATTCCAGTTGTAAAAGTATAAATGTTTTGAAATCATAAGTGAAGAAAACAGAGAGCAAACCTTGTTAGAAATCCCAAACATTCCATCAAAAAATCTTCAAGATGCTCATTTATTGGAACTTATAACTGTCAAGGCTGTTAAACAAAGGAGATCTAGTGTGTGTGTATATATATATATATATATATATATATATATATATATATATATATATATATATATAATATTAGCCAATCTCATTTTGACCCTCATGAACAAATTTTAAAATAATAAAACCAAAAAAGGTTAAAAAATAGTAGGGAAATATAAAACTTCTTTCACTTTCACTTTCACTTTAAAATATATTTTTGCAAAAACAAAATGTATAAATTTCTAATTTTAAAATTATTTACATTTAGACTTTTGAGAAGTGCATAGATTATTATAAACTTGCGGAAAGAAATCAGACCATTAGGTGAAAATTAACAAA